ACCATATGGTGGCTCACAACCATCTGTAAAGAGATCTGGTGCCCTCTTCTGGCCTGCAGGCGTACACGCAGGCAGAACATTGTATACATAATTAATAAATAAATCTTTAAAAAAAAAAAAAACATTATCTTATGACACACTTCACATTTCCTTTAAGCTTCCAGTAGTGTCTTACTTATAAATTGGATACATTATTTTTAACATGCACATGTATTGGGGGAGGGGATTCAAGGACAAGTAACACAGCACCAAGAGGACAATCTGCAGGAGTCGGTTCTCTCCTTCCACCATGTGAGTCGCGGGGTTGAACCCAGGTCACCAGGCTGGGCAGCATGTACCTTTACCTGCTGAGCCATCTCACCAGCCTCAAACATTTTCCCAAAACTGAATGCTAGGGATAGTGGTACATGTCTTTAGTCCCAGGACTCAAGCAGGTGGATCTCTTGAGTTTGAGACCAGTCTGGTCTACACAGCAAGCTCCAGGTCAGTCAGAGCTACATAGTGAAACATTGTAATAGGCTTTCTTGTTGAGACCATCAGCCTGCAAATAACAACAGGCAGGTGTATTAACTATAAAAGCTTGGCCATTAGCTTAGGCTTGTCCCATAGCTCTTATAACTTAAATTAACCCATATGTTTTTATTAATCTATATTCTATCATGTGGCTTTTACTGCTCTTCCATTCTGCATGTCAGACTCCTTCTGCATCTTGATGGCGTCTCTTGCGTGCCTTGATTATCTCTTCTCCCTCTCTCCCCTCGGAAATCTTGCCATCTCTCCTGCCTAACTATCGGCTATTTAGCTCTTTATCAAACCAACCGGAAGGCATCCTAGGCAGAGACATCTTTATGTAGAGGCCCAAATTACTCAGGGTCAGAGAATCCGAGCTTGCTTTACCCAGCAGGGCTGCATAAGGGGGTGATTTGACCACGCACATGGTTACCAGGTGTTTGGAAGGGTCTACACTTGGCTGTATCTAGCGGGGGCGGGGTGTGTGTGTGTGTGTGTCTTTTGCCTCACCCCTTGGCATTGTTATAAAAAGCCCCTTTGAATAAAGTTCTGGGCTGTTGGGTATTGACCCAGGTCCTCCCGAAGCTATCCTGTGTTTCTGTCTTTCCTCTCATCGGCTAGGCTTATCATTCTACCTGATATTTTCTTATCCCTCTCTCCTCAAGAGGACCTAGGGTAAAAGTGGAGGCAGGTCCCCCACATCTTTACAGAGTAAACAAATATTCTGCAACAAGACCCTGTCCCAAAAACTAATGTGTATCAGTATCTTTCCTACATGTCTGTGTGTGCACCATGTGTACCTGGTGCATGAGGAGCCAGAAGAGGGAGTCAGACCCCATAGAATTGGCGTTAAGGAGGGCTACAAGTTGTCACGTGGGTACTGGGAACTAAACCTGGGTTCTCTGTAAGAGCAGCAAGTGTTCTCAATGAGATGGTTCAAGATGGCTTCCTATGGTACTACTTAACCCCCAAGTCTCCCAGGATAGCTCTCACTGAGCCAGCTCTCCAGTCCTATCAGTAAACTTGATGGTGTCATTCCAGGACCTGCTGTCACCAGTAGAGTGTCTTTCTCATTTGGGACACTTATTTATATATGCCTTATTCTTTTTAAGACATTTTTTGGGAGGCTGGGCATAGTGGTATGTGCCTTTAATCCCAGCCCTTGGTATGCAGAGGCAGGCAGATTTCTGAGTTTGAGTTCTGAGTCTGAGAGAGAGCAAATTCCAGGACAGCTAGGGCTACACAGAGAAACCCTGTCTGGAAAAACCAAAATTTAAAAAAAAAATTAGAGATTATTTGTATGCATGTGAGTGTTTTCCCTGTATTTCTGTGCACATGTAGTGCACAGAGGCCAGAAGAGGGTGTCAGATCCCCTGGGCTCGAGTTCAGACAGTTATTAGCCACCATGTGGATGTCAGGAATTGAAATGTCCAGGTCCTCTGGAAGAGCAGTCAGCGTTCTTGCTTTGTTTTGTTTTTTCTAGACAGGGTTTCTCTGTATAACAGCTCTGGCTGTCCTGGAACTCACTATGTAGACCAGGTGTTATGATATATTGCACGGGGGACCCTGAGGGTATCCCTCGTGTGCAGGGAAACATGCTGGCATGCTGGGCAGGTGCAGTACTGGGCTGGTGGATGACCCATGCCATGTGGGCATGGCAGCGGGGCAGCGGCAGACAGCCAAATGCACAACCCAGATGCTGCACCTGAGAGGAAATGGCTTATTATAATAGAGAGATGAAGAGAAAGTTAGGAAAGAGGGCAAGAGAGAGAAGGAGAGGAAGAGAGAGGGGGTCAAAGGTGCACACCTTGTGGGAGGAAAAGCGGAAGAGAGAGGAAGGGGAGAGGGTTTTCCTTAAAATGAGGCTTTTACGTCAGGACGCAGGGCAGCGCCAAAGGGTGGGATTTCAAGGGGCAGGTCAGAATATTAACACCAGACTGCCCTCACTGAGATCTACCTACCTCTGCCTCCCGAGTGCTGGGGTTAAAGGCGTTAGCCACCACGGCCAGGTGAGCAGTCAGTGTTCTTAACCTCTGAGCCATCTCTCCAGCCTATGGACTTTATTCTCAATTTCCCGAGCCTTGAGGAACTTCTCATCCCTGTCTGAGCTATCAGAGCGGGGCACCGTCCTGTCTGTGGCTGCTGAAAGCCGCTCTAGTCTCCTGTGAGAGGACTAAGACGCTTGACTGCTGAGCCATCTCTCCTGCCGTTTTTCAGTTTTTTCATTTTGATATTTCTGGGTTTTTTTTGGGGGGGGGGCGTGTTTCAAGACAGGGTTTCTCTGTGTAGCCCTGGCTGTCCTGGAACTCACTCTGTAGACCAAGCTGGCCTTGAACTCAGAGATCTGCCTGCCTCTGCCTCCTGAGTGCTGGGATTAAAGGCGTGCGCCTCCACTGCCTAACTTTTTGTTGTTGCGTTTCAAACAGGCTCTTACTAGGTACCCTGGGCTGGGCTCAGACTTCCAGTTCTCCTGCCTCCCTTTCCTGAGTGCCAGGATTACAGGCTTGCACCACCATACCCAACTATGTTTTCAAATTACTGCCTGTGGTGGTTTGAATAGGAATGGTCCCCACAGGCTTGGTCCTTAGAGCGTGGCACTACTTGATGGGGGCTAGAAGGTGTGGCCTTGTTGGAGGAAGTGTGTCACGGGGTGTGGTTTTGGGGTTTCAAATGCTCTAGCTAGCCCCAGCGGCTCTCTCTTCCTGCTGCCTGTGGATCCTGATGTAGAACTCTCAGCTCCTCCTTCAGCACCGTGTCTGCCTGCATGCCACCTTGCTTCCTGCCATGCTGATAATGGACTAAGCCTCTGAACTGTATGTAAGCCAGCCCCACTTAAATGCTTTCCTGTATAGGAGTTGCCATGGTCACGGTGTCTCTTCACAGCAATAGAACAATGACTAAGACACAGCCCCAAACAAGTGGGGACCCTCTTTTTCAGGCTCCCAAAGATAAATACTTCTTGGACGATGTGATCCAAACCTATGAAAGAGAACTTCTTTTTATCATTTTCTTACTGTTGTGTGATCTCTCACAGGATGAAGTAGAGAGAACCATGTCCCTCTGCTTTAACTCCACTTTTGAGTCAAGCTCCTTGGAGAGTAAGGCACAGGCTGGGGGGAAGCTCAGTGGTAGGGGCTTGACTTAGACTTGAGACCCTGAGACTGATCCCCAGCATCAGCAAACAGGTGAAGAGTAAGATCCACGCAGCCTGCACTGGGCGCTGTACACGCCTGCTGTTTGTACATAGCAGGGGAAGCTCTTAACCTGGGACCTTCTTATTCTCCTTTTGCAGGGGCTCTGCGGTTAAGAGTTAAGGGTTTTTCTAGAGGACCTGCGTTCAGTTCCTGGTACCCACACTAGGTGACTCATAACTGTAGGCGGAGTTTCTTTGTGTCTCGGCAGCCACTCCCAAATAACCACTCAGACCTATTATTAATTATAAATGCTCAGCCGATAACTCAGGCTGGTTTCTAGCTTTTACATTTTAAATTAACCCATTTTTTTTCTTTTTTTCTTTTTTTTTTCGTGCCTTTCCTGGAACTCACTCTGTAGCCCAGGCTGGCCTCGAACTCACAAAGATCCGCCTGGCTCTGCCTCCCGAGTGCTGGGATTAAAGGCGTGCGCCACCACCGCCCGGCTAAATGAACCCATATTTCTTATCTACCCTCTACCACGTGGCTGTCTCTCTGCCTCTCTCCTCAATCTTCAGACTCCGCCCCTCTTCTTTCCAGGAGTCTCTCTGCCCCCAAATCCTGCCTAGCCATCAACCAATCAGCTTTTTGCTTTTTTTTTCCTTCAAGACAGGGTTTCTCTGTGTAGCTTTATGCCTTTCCTGGAACTCGCTTTGGAGACCAGCCTGGCTTTGAACTCACAGAGATCCGCCTGGCTCTGCCTCCCAAGTGCTGGGATTAAAAGCGTGCGCCGCCAACACCCGGCTGACCAATCGGCTTTTTATTAACAATGAGAGGAACACATTTTCACAGTGTACAGAAGGATTATTCCACAGTACACACTGCCTTAAACTCCAGGGAATCTAATGCCCTCTTCTGGCCTGCACACACACACATATAAACAAAAATAAAAACTAAATCTTAAAATTAATAGAAATACAGGGTGGTATGGGAACGCACATGGGGCACCTGATCTCTTCTTGGGGGAGGGGAAACACGGCATTTAGGCTGAACCCGAGTGGTTGGCAGGACAACGGGAGGCCAAACGCTGATGTGGGGCAGCTACGGTGCAGTGGAAGGGACAGCGGCCGGGAAAGCATCTCCTTGGGCTGCAAGCTCTGTCTTCAGACCCGACCTGTGCTCTTGTTCTGCTTCCCTTCCTCTTGTGCCCAGTTTCAAACACGTGCTTACTACTGCAGGGACACATTCCGACAAGCTCTCTGATGTGTGCATTTGCCTCTAAGGACGGCCTATAGTTTTAATGGGGGGAGGGGGAGGCAAAGAAAAAACTCTTCCAAGTTTTAGAAACCAAAACCGAAATAAAAACAATTGATCTTTATTGAAAACATTAACAAAACCAAAACAGACATACTCAATAAGCACCCTGCCACTCGGCCACACCCCTAGGGTTATTTTTGCACTTTCCACCTAGCTTTTAAATGGTCGCGCAGAATTCCATGGAATGTCTGTTATCAACAAGTGTCTCCTCTTATCAGAGATGACAAACATCTCCTGTATGCCTTCTTTTCTGAGTTTTCTTTAGGGTAGATTTCCAGAAGTGTAGCTGGCTTATGGGGCAGGCACAGATAGTTCCAGGGACTTTGAAAAGAATCTTAGGCTCCTGGAAATGTTTGTACCAACTCCCATTACCAGAAAAGAAGTCTTGTTTCACAGCTCTGGGAGGGTCAGTAGTCCCCAGCAGGGATGACACGCTTCAGACAAATAATACAAACCGGTGCAGGATTTAAAGGAATACAGATATCGGGGTGCAGACATATTCCCACTCCTATAGTTTGAACTTCTTCCATGATCATGCCTCCCACCCTCCACCCCCAAACCATGTAGAGGCAGCTGGGCCCAGTGGCTAAGGCGGGAGCCTCACAAGCTCAAGGGTGCCCCAGAAAATTAAGCAAGACCCTGAAACATGAAGGAGTGGTTTACTGGTAAAGTCCCTGCTTAGCACAGGCAGGGTCCACAGCTAGTACTGCAAACAAAAAAATTTAAACAAAAAACATGTAGATAAACTTAGGATATGTGCTAATAGCTAACGTAATATAGATAATAGATGAGCAAGCCCTAAATAATTGTGTGTCACATATATTTTAACATACATGAGTGAATGAATTCTATGGAAATGTTTTAATGTATAGACATATGATATATTTACTATATACATGTAAGTGACACATATGTTTTGGACTTTCTCATTTGTTCACCTTTCCCAAGGTGCAAACCTCCTAACCTTCCCACACAGACATCAGAGGCCTACCTGTGACCATGTACAGCGTCAGCACTCATCAGACACTTCTCAGTTCAGCTCTCTGCTGGATACAGAGATAAAGACAGACATCTGCCCTAAAGAAGCAGAGCCCTGCAGGGAACTGGAGACAGAGAGTGGTCTTCATAGAGTCATATGAAGATCAGGTGGGCCACTGGGACCCAAGCACTGGGAAGACCTTAATGGTGTAACCCTTGCATTGAGCAGGAAGATGGTTGAGGGCTGGCCTGCCTTACAGGGTGGAAGACAGACCCACCCAGGCTTCTTCAGGGAGGGGCAAGTGGTTCTTCTGCAGTGTGAGGCTCAGGAGAGAAAGCAGGTCTCAGGTGCAAAGGGAAGAGACCATGAGGCCACATGTTCATGGAGCAGGCAGTGAGCAGGACAGCATCATGTACAGCCCCTGCTGGAGTTGGGCGCTGCTCCAAGTGCTTTTCGTGGAGTAATGACAAACAGACACAGTGGGGCAGGATCTGTCGTGACTCCCATCTACACGCTGCCCCAGACTCACAGCTGGCTCAAGTCTATGTGCTCTGAATCAGTGTGGGAAACCAGTGGACACCCGCCTGGTGTGTTCATATGAGTCCTTTTAGTGAGAACGTTATCTCAAGCCACAGTCCTAGGCTAGAGGTGGGGGCAGCTCAGTGGTAGACCACTTACCTACCACTGGGGCAGGGTGTCCTGGGTTGCTGTCAGTTTTTATTTCTAATTTTATTTCAGTGGGCAGAATTCCGAAATATCTATGTTTATAATTTATGTTTTGTTTGTTTTGAGACACGGTCTAGTAAAGCTCAGGTTGGTCTTGAACTTGGGATGTGGTGGAGGCTGGCTTTGAACTCCTGATCTTCCCTATCCCACCTCCTGGGTGCTGGGATTACAGGCATCTACCATCATGCCTAGCTAACACATGCATTTGTAAACAACAGCCTGAGGTAGAGTTAACACAAGAGCATACATGCCCTTAAAGCAAATTATGGGTGTGTGAACCTGCAGGCCTCTCACCCCTGTCAGGACAGTGAACACACCCTCCAAGTTTCCCTGGTGCTGTGGAATTCTCCATCCTCCTTCCCCTGCTCTTTCTAGCCACCTCTCCTGGTCTTCAGCAGGCTGTTTGAAACATAAAATTCACCTTCAGTTCTCAATTTGAAGTCAGAACTGTGGGGGGTTGGTTTGTTGTTTATTTGTTTGGTGACTCAGAATAATCAAATGTACTTATCTCTGTAAGTTTGTGAAATAGTTCACATCATGGACTTTTCGTACATTCTGAGCTTCCTGGAGAAGTTTCAGTACTTGTAGGTATCAGCAAATCGGAAAGACTATTCCAGATGCTTAAAAGATTCATCCTTATATTTCTGTTGCTCCACAACCACTTCTGGTACCAAAATCTGTATTAGCCAGGGTTCTTCAGAGTAACAGAACTTATGGAATGAATCTCTCTTTCTTACTAATCCAACAATGGCTAACTATGAATGGAAAGTCCAAGAATCCAGAAAATGCTCAGTCCACGTAGCTGAGTGTCTCAGGTGGTTGGTTTTGGTTTTTTGAGACAGGGTATCTCTGAGTAGCCCTGGCTGTCCTCAAATGCAGAGACCCACCTGTCTCTGCCTTCCGAGTGCTGGGATTAAAGGTGTGTGCCACCACTACCTGGCTCAGCTCCCTCCCTGCTTGCCTGGTTTTTGAAACAAGGTCTTACTATGTTTCATAAGGACGTGTTGAATTGTGTTGTTATCATTAATAAGGGAATGAAAGAAGAAATTACATGTCTGAATGGATGAAGCGAATCACCTTCTCTCAGCCCTAACTTCAGCTCGTGGTAGATGTAACCTTTAATCGTCTTTATCCCGTGGACTGGGGAAGACTCAGCATGCTCCTGGCTGCAGGGGTGCTCTCGTTTGCCATTGCTGATTCCATTTTCTATCCCATTCCACCAAAAGACGCAGGCACCACCTCTGCAGTCCGAGCCTGTGCGTGGGCGAGTTCACTCCATGGAAGACGGTGAGAGTCTAAAGAGCACGTCCTGTGTGGCTTTGGAAACCTTGGTGACGAGCTCACTGTGAAGGAATGAAAAGACATAGACAAATGACATCTTGAATGGCCAAGATGTCAGCAGGCTAGAAGCAAGCACCTGAGGGAAGCAGATCAAAAGGCCAGCAAGTGACAGGTGACGTGGAGGGTCTGAATGTTCTGGGAGAAGGGGAGATGTATACAACCAAGGAAGAATCTGGGGGTGGACAGCAGTAAATACACAAGGGAAAAAATATCAAGAAGACAAGCAAATTAAAATAGACATCTAGGCTTAGCTCTCAGGACAAGCAAAGTGTTCTAGGGAACAACGAGCGAACAGAGTCCTGGCTCGTTGACAAGTGTTGAATGAATCACAATCCTATTAGTGACCAATGAAGTGATGGGATCAGCCCACAGGCTTTGGAAAGATGAGGAAGCAGCCCCAGCAGCCTGATGTTAGATATTCCAGGGAGGAAGAAGGGCAATGGGCTGCTGGGAAACGGGCAAGGGGCACCGAGCAGCGGTGTCTTACAGCCAGCTGTGTACAGCACTCGCTGCTTACATTTCAGGAGCCCTTCTCGGGCAGGGCGCAGTGGCCTACACTGTAATCCAGCACTCCGGAAGGTGAGGCAGCAGGCTCTTCAGTTTGAGACTACTCTGGGGTACATAGTGAGCCCGTCTCAAACAGTAATGTTAACGACGATGATGATGGTACACTTCTGTTCTGTCTACTTGTATTAGGCACTGTGTTCTGGGCATTACAAAGAGCTGACCAGTCATTCTGCACATCAACCCTAAGCCATACACACTGTTATCATTCCCATTTTACAGAGGAAAAGGCTGAGACTCAAGATAAGAACCACATAGGGCCACAGAACCAGGGGGTCCTGAGGGAGCTGATGTTAAAAGTTCAGTGATCGAGACTGCTGTCTCTCTCTATTTAGCACTTAAAAGATGACTATGTCAAGCCTGGCCGTGGTGGTACACGCCTTTCATCCCAGCACTTGGGAGGCAGAGGCAGGCAGATCTCTGAGTTTGAGGCCAGTCTGGTCTCTACAGCGAGTTCCAGCAGTCAGGGCTACACAGAGAAACCCTGTCTCAGAAAATCAAAGAGACAGAGAGATGACTTTGCCTTGCTTCACCTTACTTTAATTAAAATAACAATTAAATTTTCCTTTTCTTAGGATTTATTTATTTTATGTGTATGAGTGTTTTGCGGGCACATATATAGCCAGAAGAGGGCATTAGATCCCCTGGAACTAGAATTACAGATGGTTGTAAGCTGTCCTTTGGGTTCTGAGAATTTAACCCAGGTGCAGGGCCCAGCAAAAAGGAGTCCTTTTGGGTGGAGCCTGGCAGGACTCCCAGCCAGGCATGCTCCAGGCCTTCCTGACTTAAGAGGTGCGGTAAGGACCACAGAAGTAACAGCAATGAAGGCCGATGATTACCGGTTCTCTCTAACATTTCTACAGTTTCCACACCTTGACTTTTTCTGTGGGGTAAACCAAAAGGGAACCTGTTGGCTTGGTTAACCCTTACCTGGGGTCCCTAGGGAGCAGTCAGCTGACGCAGGTGTTTATACCATCCTTTTGTGTGTGTGCACATGTGTATGATATTTGTGGGGTCACATGTGTACCATGGCGCACGTGTGTCCACCAGAGGACGACCTTGGGTGTCCTTGTCTTCTACCTTTTGTTGTTGTTTACAAGATTAGCTAGCCCACAAGCCTGCAGGGTTCTCCTGTCTCCATTTCCACTGCCCTCTCATTGCAGGAATACTGGAATTACCGTCACATTGGGTCCTAGCCATCAGGTCCTCACGCCTGTGCGGCAAGGGCTTTACCCAGTGAGCTATGGCCCAGTCAGTGCATGTGTGTGTGTGTGTGTGTGTGTGTGTGTGTGTGTGTGTGTGTGTACATGCACACGTGTGATCCTTTTATTTTATTTTTGTTTTTGTTTTTCAAGACAGGGTTTCTCTGTGTAGCTTTGCGCCTTTCCTGGAACTCACTTGGTAGCCCAGGCTGGCCTCGAACTCACAGAGATCCGCCTGCCTCTGCCTCCCAAGTACTGAGATTAAAGGCGTGCCTCACCACCACCTGGCTGCGTGTGATCCTTTTTTTTTTTTTTTTTTTTTGGTTTTTCGAGACAGGGTTTCTCTGTGTAGCTTTGCGCCTTTTCCTGGATCTCGCTCTGTAGACCAGGCTGGCCTCGAACTCACAAAGATCCACCTGCCTCTGCCTCCCGAGTGCTGGGATTAAAGGCGTGCGCCACCACCGCCCGGCGCGTGTGATCCTTTTAGAATTCTGATTTCTTTTCCATATATTTCACAGCACACATAGTACACACACACACACACACACACACACACACACACACACACACACACACACACACACGTTTTTTGAGACCTCCAGAACTGTAAGCTAAATAAATCTCTTTTTGTCATGAACATTCACCTTTGGATGTTTCATTACAGCAACAAAAACAACTAATTCACCAGTTAGATACCAAGGTACTTGTTCTTTTAAAATCCTTTTGCTCTGGCTATTCTTCCAGAGGTCCTGAGTTCAAGTCCCAGCAATCACATGGTGGCTCACAACCATCTGTAATGAGATCTGGTGCCCTCTTCTGGCCTGCAGGCATATATGCTGTATACATAATAAATAAATAAAACTTAAAAAAAAAATCCTTTTGCCTCAGCCTCCTAAGTGCTGCGATGATACCCCATGCCACCATTTCCTGCTTGTAAATGGTTTCTTAATTAGTAATATGTTATTAAGGACTAGTTTCTAAAATATTTTTCTGAGCCAACATTGAGACAGTCTGGGGATTCCTGACTGAGAGGTATAGACAGGTACCAAGCACAGACAAGGATTTGTGAGATCCTTTACAAGTCCTGCAGACGTGCACACTAAAACCTGCTATTGGCTTTCTGAAAAGCCAAATCTAATCAGTGATGTCCTTGCCAACCATCTTCCAGCAGTCCCCATAACAGAAAACAAAGGGCTTCATAAAAACCTCCTTGTTTGTCCAGTCTAGAACGACCCCCCCATGTCCTGCCCATACCCTGCCCTGCCCTCCTCTCATGCGCTGCTCCCCACCATCTGAGCTTCTCCCCACCCCTGGTCCTGCCCTTCTCCCATGCGGTGCTCCCCACCATCTGAGCTTCTCCCCTCCTGTGGCCCTGCCCTCCTCCCATGCGGTGCTCCCCACCATCTGAGCTTCTCCCCACCCGTGGCCCTGCCCTCCTCCCATGCGCTGCTCCCCACCATCTGAGCTTCTCCCCACCCGTGGCCCTGCCCTCCTCCCATGCGGTGCTCCCTAACATCTGAGCTCCCCACCCGTGGCCCTGCCCTCCTCCCATGTGGTGCTCCCCACCATCTGAGCTTCTCCCCACCCCTGGTCCTGCCCTCCTCCCATGCGGTGCTCCCCACCATCTGAGCTTCTCCCCACCCCTGGTCCTGCCCTCCTCCCATGCGGTGCTCCCCACCATCTGAGCTTCTCCCCACCCGTGGCCCTGCCCTCCTCCCATGCTGTGCTCCCCACCATCTGAGCTTCTCCCCACCCGTGGCCCTGCCCTCCTCCCATGCGGTGCTCCCCACCATCTGAGTTTCTCCCCACCCGTGGCCCTGCCCTCCTCCCATGCGGTGCTCCCCACCATCTGAGCTTCTCCCCACCCCTGGCCCTGCCCTCCTCCCATGCGGTGCTCCCCACCATCTGAGCTTCTCCCCACCTGTGGCCCTGCCTTCCTCCCATGTGGTGCTCCCCACCATCTGAGCTTCTCCCCACCTGTGGCTCTGCCCTCCTTCCATGCAGTGCTCCCTACCATCTGAGCTTCTCCCCACCCCTGGCTCTGCCCTCCTCCCATGCGGTGCTCCCCACCATCTGAGCTTCTCCCCACCCCTGGCTCTGCTCTCCTAGCTGCTGCCTCTTTCACATCCCCCCTCCTTCTGCCAGGAAACTTTGTCATTTGTGCCAGACTCAGTGACATCACTCCTGGACCCCTGCTCCATCTTCCCAGGGTCCCCGGTACTGCAGGCATTTAATTTGCTGATGTATTTGGTGCCCGGCACTAGCTGCTTGTCAGCTGGGGCTGTGGGTACCTACTCCTGCATCCCCACAGGTGCCTGAGGCAGTAGGCTGTAACCTGTGTCTATGCTTGGGATACTGTGTCTAGTCCCTACCTCAGGAAAGCTTAACTTTCCTATGGGGTCATGTTTGTGCCGGGCCTATTTTCTTCATGTTCAGCACAGGATAAACCATTGGTAAATGGAGCTATCGTCGTCACGACAATGTAGTACTATTATGGCAAGACTTCAAATAGAGAGAAGTAAAATGTCTGAAAGACGCAGTGGCCCTGTACAAAGCTCCCCAGCCAGGTCTCTCCGGCAAACCCTAAGGGAGCTGGGCTGGAGGGGGGTGCTTCCTAGTTCCCGGTCTTCCCCATCTTGGCCCACCTCACCTGCTACTGGAGGGAGACCCGATTCTGTAGGGGCTTTTTAAACCCAGGGAATAGGTGTCCATGGGGCTCCGTAATGAGAAAGGGGACTGGAAAGCCTTCAGTCTCTCTTCCGTCTCCCTCTTTTTCTTCCTGTGGGGAAGCAAAATGGATGTCAATGAAACCAGTTCAGAAATTTGGTGTGGGTTCTCCAGAAGCAGTTTCTCTGGCACCTTGATACCCACTGGGAAGAGAGTATGAGTCGGCCAGACTGGAGAAGGGGCTGGAGGTAGAGGGCGGGCCAACACAAGGCCACTACCTCTCATTAATCTTTCAGTAGCAGCTCAACGAGGGCCAAGACTGCAGAGTCTCTGGAAATGACCCTGACCTTGAGGACGAGCACACTGGGTTTAGGGTCAGGTGGAGAAACAGGGTGGTCGGGTCTGAGGGAGTCAGGCTGAGGTGATGAAGACTGTTTGTCAAGTGATGCTCCCTCAGGAGCCCTACTGTCCTCTGCTCAAGCTAAAACTGCTATAACTTTAAAAGTCAAAGCCTTTTCTCAATTCAGAGAAAAATTTAAATCCGAAGGTTTGATAAGCTAGGCTGCCACTCTGGAGTCTGGGTAAGTGCTTTTTCTTCATCTCTAAAATAGAGACTGCCACTACCTGTCAGTGATGGGGACGGTCACCAACCATCCCATCAGTCACCCTGGCAATGGAACCAGTTTGGAGATGGAAATGGTCTCACTTTTTAAAATCACATTTCCCAAGCTCCTTTGCAATGATCACCATGTGACTATTATCAGGCCCCTGAAATAAAGTGGTAATATTATGGTATTTTCAGGGAAGGTCCTTTTAAAACACAGAAAGTAATGGGAATCTATTGTATATGAGTGTGACAGACCCTCACAGAGGAGGAAAAAGTTAAAGAACTAGACTGTGGTCACTGATGCTCATCATTAAAATGACAGGGGTCATTCAAATCATCAAGATCATCAAATTTCAATGATTTTCAGAAACACTGAATTGTGCACCAAAGTGGTAAGGGAGAAAACGTTACATCCGTCCTTATTATACTACCAATGAGAACACGGGGAAGGCAACGGGACTTCTGGGAAGAAGGCTGAAAACGAGTAAGATTAGCTTTCCTGGGTTGCTGGCTTGGAAGACAGACTGAATACCTGCAACTCCAGCAGCAACGTGGGACCTTGAGGAACCCTAAGGGACAAGGTGGTGGATCCTGGGCTCCTGAAGGCCCTGGAACCCCCACCAGGCCTAGACACTCCACCTCCAGGGATTAATGTATACCACTGTTATTTATTTTGTCTGTGATGCACATCTAGATATAATCCTAATTTATATAATGATTCAAACTGTCATGGGAATTAAAGGTTTCTATCTCCTAGAGAAACCAAAATAAAGAGGCCGGTGATACAAGACCAAAAGAAAATAAAGAGAACTGAGTGGTTATTTCGATGTAGGGCGCCTGCACCACTGCTTCTTCCCTTTCCAGAATGCAGCCAGCCAGGCATCAGCCCATAAAGAAAGGCTCTTCCCTCCCCAGGCACAGGATGGTCCTGAGAAAAGTGGCGGCTGATGCTTGGGGCCTCCCTGTGCAGAGGGCTTGCTTCCCTGTCACAAGGAAGGAGCCATAGCCACCAGGGCTGGCTCCCGTGAGCCTCTTGGAGCTTTCCCCTGAACTATGAAGACAGGTCACAGGGAATATAGAGACAAAAAAGATCAAAGAGTGAAAACCAGCAAACAGAAGCCAGAGAAAGACGCCTCAGGGAGACGGAAGCAGTATGAGGTCAGTATGAGGGTGTGTGGAGGATGTATGAATAACCTCAGCAAGGGCTGGAAATATTATATCCATAAGAGGATGAGGATGCTATCTCATACTACCTTCTTTTAATCTGTTCCACCACTGGATTCTGCCTTAAAATTATTATTTTGTATTTTATCACATTCTCAATAGATAACCATCAGTATGTGGCTTTTTTTTTCCCCCTGAGACAGAGTCATACTATGTAGCCCTGGCTGTCCTAGAACTCACTCTGTAGACCAGGCTGGCCTCAAACTCATAGAGATCCACCTGCCTCTGCCTCCCTAGTGCTGGGATTAAAGGCATGCCCATCTGTTTTGTTTGTTTGTTTTGTTTTGTTTTGTTTTTAACAGTGCAAGGAATCACACTGCAGGGAATAAGTTATACAAGGACGGCTCTCCAGGAGTGAGCATGGCCGTAGCTTTCCTGGCTCTGGCCCTTTCTAGGGCCATAGGTGAGTGCGACCATGTTACTATTATTTAGATTTTGTAGTTTTAATTTTGTAAAAGTGATGTCTTTCAGGATATATTCAAACAAAACTCTCTATGGCGCAGGGATCGCAGCCACCTCCTACTGTAGGACATCCAAAGGTTCATTTCCAACCAACAGATACATGGAAGCTGCAAACTGCGGGGTTATTTTGTTTGTGATCTAACAAGTAAAGCTTGCCTAAAGGTCAGAGTGCAGAGCTAAGCCACAGAGGCAGACAGATCTCTGTGAATTCAAGGCCACCCTGGGCTACACAAGATTGATCCAGTTTAAAAGAGAAACAGGGCCTGCTGTGCCACACACCTTTAATCCCAGCACTTGGGATCTCATGCCTTTGCTCCCCTTACTTGGGAGACACACACGCCTTTAATCCCAGCATTAGGAAGGTTTGGACAGGAGGTGATATGGCTGGGCAGAGAAAGGAATGTAAGGCAGGAGACAGGAGCTCGTCTCTTTCAGGCTGAGGATTGGTAGAGGTAGGAACCCTAGTGGCTGCTGCTCTGCTTCTCTGATCTTTCAGCTTTCACCCTGATACCTGACTCCAGGTTTTTATTATAAGACCAATATTAGGATTCGTGCTACAGTAAACAACTGATCACTGGGGCTGGAGAGATGGGTCAGCATTTAAGAGCACTGGCTGCATTACAGAGGACCCGGGTTCAGTTCCCAGCACCCATATGACAGACAGCTCACAACTGTCTGTAACTCTAGTTCCAGGGTTTCTGACACCCTCTTCTGACATTCTTGGGCTCCTGCATGAATGGGGTATACATATCTGCATGCAGTCACATACACACAGAATTAAAATTTCATTTAAATCCCTCAACCTCCAATAAAACTTCTGGGACCACAAGTTTCAAGAAAAAGTTGTGGCAGGAGAGTGGGGGATGGAGAGAAGTATTGAATGAATGATGAGGGGCTGGAGAGAGGGTGATCAGGTGCATGAACAGACAAGAGAAGCCAGCACCAAGACTGGAAGACCCTCCTGACCATGGCGGCACGGGGATGAACAGCACATGGGAGAAGAGCCCCAGGATCCTGGGTGGAAGAAGGTGGCGCTGTGTGAGTGACCCCAAGTGACATCTGAGGCTTCTGCCTCTCAGCCCTGTCCTAGCTCTCTAGTCCACCTTCAGAATCGGCTTTTTATCTTAATAAACTGTCTCTATCACAATCCATGTATCCCTAGTCCAATTCTCTATTCTGAGACATGGGCACGAGGAAAGTTCAGTGGGTGTCCTTTGGACCCTGACATCCACTGCATACCTTCCCCATGTGGCCAGAATTTTCCCATCAATCACACGAGACATTTTCTAAGGTTTCTGTTTGAACAAACCTTGAGAGAAAAGCTGTTTCTTTCTGGGGGGTTCCTCTGGATTTCTTGAAAAACAAGTCATCAAATAGTAATGTGGAAGAAACGTGGTTATGGTTGGCCTTTCTTTTTTCTGCTACTTTTTGATCGATAATCTTCACCTCCCTGAGGGATAAAAATGACAAAAGACATGGATTGAAAAAGGATGAAAGAATCAATGTGATCTTTTCTTTTTCTTTCTTTCTTTTATTTCCTTTTATTTTTTTTTACATAGGGTTTCTCTGTATAGCCCTGGCTGTCCTGGAACTCACTCTGTAGACCAGGCTGGCCTTGAACTCAGAGATCCGCCTGCCTCTGTATCCCACGGACAGGGATTAAGGCATACGCCACCACCATCGCCCAGCGCAATGTGATCTTGTCAGACAGACATCTACATTAGTCTGCCAGCCTGCCAGGAAACATCTGACCACACAGGAGTCACCACATCCCAGACGCAGACTGCTGGGGTTTTAGAATGGACATAAAATGAACTACAGGAGAGATGAGGGGTCCGCCATCTTAAGAGAGGGCTGGTATATGCACAGTCTCAGAAGGAAGATGAGTTCACTGGGGCTCTGCCGTGTGACCTGGGGAAAATGACTTCACTGCTCTGTGCTAGTGTGTTCACACGGGTCACTAGGTTTGTGGTGAGGTGTGAGTTACTGTAGGTCAGATGTTTAACAGTGCCAGGTAGACAGGAGATGCTCAGGAAGTGTTGGCAGCTGGGCTACTGGAAGCTTTCGGTAGAGTGTTCACAGGGTACACACACAATGGCTTGCTGAACTGGATAACCTTCAGCTGGCTTTTGAAATGCAAGGAGACAATTACCTGATGAAGAATCAGGTTATGAGTATTCAAGATCAACAAGATGATCATTAATATATGTTTGTGTGAATTAAAATGTTGCCATGAGGGGCTAGATTGATGGTTCAGCAGTTAAGAGCATGGGCATGCCGGGCGGTGGTGGCGCACGCCTTTAATCCCAGCACTCGGGAGGCAGAGGCAGGCGGATCTCTGTGAGTTCGAGGCCAGCCTGGTCTACAGCGCGAGATCCAGGAAAGGCGCAAAGCTACACAGAGAAACCCTGTCTCGAGAAAAAAAAAAAAAAAAAAAAAAAAAAAGAGCATGGGCTACTCCTGGAGAGGACCCACGCCCAGTCCACAGCACCCACATGGCAGGTGGCTCACAACCATCTGTAATGCCAATTCCAGGAGTTCAACAACTTCTTTTGACTTCTATATAGGCACCAGGCATTAAGGTGTACACATACATACAGGCAGGCAAGACACTCACACACATAAAATAAAATAATTTTTTTTTAAAAAATGATGCCATAAGCTGGGTTGGCAGTACATACTCAACTATTCAGCATGCTGATGCAGGAGGATAACTTGAACCAGGAATTCAACACACACACACACATACCCACACATTCTAAAGAAAGGAGCTAGGCTCTGTGAATGAGCTGTTTCGAATCTGGCCACAGGAAAGCTGACGGTGCTCAGTGAAGGTGGAGAGCCAGCAAGCAGCCCCGCCCCACTCCAGCTCACCCCTTCTGGCTGCTGCAGTGGACAGGTGTCCATGCGTGGCTCTGCACCCGCCCCTCCTACCTCTCGAAGCTCTCCTGCAGTTCCGTTAGATAGTTGTTAAAATAGGCCCACTCGTTCTCGTGCAGCTGGTCCAGCTGCCTGAGCCGTTTCTTCCGAGTCTCCATGTTCTTCGTGACCAGGTGGATGATGTCAGCATAAGTCATGACAGAGTCAGTGGATTCTGCGGTCAAGGAAAGGTCCACTGTGTTGCCCTCATGCACTGTTAGTGGCCGAGCCTTGTGCACGGGAAGGGGAGGGGAGCGTGGACTATACAAAGACAATGCTTGGTTTCTGGGGTTCTGGAGGAGGTACCCCAAATCCACACAGTGAGATTCTGAGGCTGGCTAGGGCTAGCCTGGGAATAAAGACAGCTGTCCTCTCTGGGCCAGGCAGTGCCCACCTTGTTATAAAGCCCCCTTGGCCCTGTCCACAGTAGGGAGGCAGAAACTACTTCTTTAGACTGTCTGCAGGAGAAAGACAGCAGCATCTGCTGCTGGGCAGTGCAGTGCTGTTTTCAGAGGGTTCTCCGGCATCACCACAGCACACCAGCCGAACAGTTTGGGCTTGGAGTGTGTCACCACAATGGGGAAGGGGATGGGACTCCAACATCCTTCTCCTTGTAGGCCTGATCACTCATCTCTTGTTTTCTGGTTTGGTGTTTGGACTTTGCTTGGTTTGGTTTTTTTAGACAGTCTTACTGTGTAGACCAGACTGGCCTTGAGCTCACAGAGATCCACCTGTCTCTGCCTCCCGAGTGCTGGGACTAAAGGTGTGTGCATCAAGCCCAGCTGGATTTGGTTTTCTGAAACAGGATCCAGCAACATAGTCTCAAGTTAATAGTCAGCCTCCTGCCTCACCCTCCTGAGTGCTGGCATTATAGGTACACACCAGCACTCTCAGCTTCATTGTCCATTTCAAGTCTAACACTGGAAAAAAAAAGGATAACACTGAAAAGGCCCCTCTTTCAGTCAGGTGTGGTGATGCACATCTGTAATCCAGGCACTTGGGAAACGGAATTAGGAGGATCAAGTTCAAGGACACAGGGAGTTCCAGGCCAGCCAGAGCTGCAGGAGACACTGTCTCAAAACACCAAAACAAACAAACAAACACCACTTTTCTCTTCTGCTGTACTCCCACCCTTGGTTAGAATATTGGCTGTGTTTGTGACAAGCTGTGGGACCTCCTCTGTCACCTTCTACGACTCCATTTATCTATTTACGAAAGGGGATAAAAGCCAGGCCTGGTGATTTACACCTGTAATCTCAGCACTCATGAGGCTGAGGCAGGAGGATTGCCCTGAAAAGAAGAGATGCTCGTCCTTTAGGGGACGGTGACACAGCAATGTGGTTCTCCCTACAGTGGCAGTCATACACATTCCAGTCACAATGCCATAGCTCGGCAGGACAGCTTCACTTTAGGAGCTCGGAGGGCTGCTAAGGTTGGTACATCCCAGCCAGGTGCTGCCTCTGAGCCACAGGGACCTAAAGAATGTGGTGACGCTGGGACAATGTGGACCAAGCTGCCTAGTGGTAGTTGTCACTATCCTTCAGAAATCTGTGACATGAAACTCTAAGGGCAGGAGAAGAAAAGGCCTCCTGGTGCCCTCCTGCCCAGGAGCTAGCAAAGGCAGTGGAGTACCATCCATGTGCTGAGCACCCTCCACTGCTCTGGGAATCAGTCTGTGAAAGTGCTCCTGAAGCTGGGTGTGGTGACACAAGTCTTAAATCCCAGCACTCAGGAGGCAGAGGCAGACAGATCTCTGTGAGTTCGAGACCAGTCTGATCTACATACACAGTGAGTTCCAGGCCAGTCAGGGCTATACAGATAGACTTTGTCTCAGAAAACAAACAGCACCCATGAGGCAGAAACCCTTCTTTTGATTTTACAGATGAAAGAAGTGATGCCTACAGAGAAACTGGAATGTTTCCGAAGTCACTTGGCTGGCTAGTGTAGCATTAGTTCCAGAGTCTGGAGCTATTTGGACAAACAGAGCAAACTAGGGTCAGTAGAACCCCTGTTCTAGCCCTAAAGCATGTTGCTAAGGCTCAGGATACCAACACATGCTGCACCTGTTTCCTAAGAACTGAGCTTTTTACCAACTCCAAATGGAGCTGGGGCAGATGAGGTTAGATGAAATTCTCACATGGACACCAAAACTGATGGCCCATACACTCTGGGGCCAGTGAGCATCAGGGAGGCTATGGTACCTACGTTCACACTGAAAGATGAGAAAAGGTGGCTCTGAATGTGGGGAATTTCGACACGCTCAGGGTCTACTGGCCAGTACCAAGGCCTAGACTTGAGGCTCACCTTAGCACACGAGCAAGACTATACCTCTGAGGTACATACCATGGCTGCTCCTACCAAGTACCCACTGTGTGTCAGGCTATGCACTAAAGCCTGGATGATTCCCTTCCAGCCCCACTTCTGCAAAGAGGTGGCAGGAGCCTGGTGACAAGGATATGGGACGACTTTGGTCTTTTCTCTCCGGCTGATCAGCAAATCCTGGCCTTTAAGCGGCAGCTTAGAGTAGTTGAGGAAGTAGTACATAATTAGCGGGCTCTTCCCATAAAGGTTGAATTGGTTTACAGTCAACTTGGGGCTTTTGCAGGCAGGGTGGGACTAAGTGGGGGAGAGAAAGAAAAAGAAAAGATGTTGTCATGTGAGATGATGAATGTCGTCAACTTGACTGGAATTAGACCCACTCAAGGAATAAGTCTCCAAACATACGTGAGGGATTATTTAGCTTCTGGGCATATCTATGAGGGTATATATATCTTTAACCTTGATTGATTAAAGATCTATCTTCACTGTGGGTGGGGCCATTCCTGTGTAGGGATCCTAGACTGTCTGGCTTGGAGAACACGAGCTCAGAACCAGCATTCATGGCTCTCTGCTTCCTGAGTGCGGACACAATGTGAGCGCCCGCCTGCCTCAAGCTCCTGCTGCTGGCACTTCCTCGCCTTGACGGTCTGTTACCATGAGCCCAAAGTCCCCCTCCCTTAGGTTTTCTTCTCAGGTTATCTTATCATGGCAGTAGGAAAGGGAACTGACACTCCATGTTTCCAGCACCTATGCCTCTGACCCAGGAACTCCAGCTCTACGATGCCTCCTCAGGGAATGGCCAAAACAAAGAAAAGTTCTACATGTGAGCTACCGCAATAACAAATAGCTGCTTCCCCTTGTCGAAATGGCAAGAAAGAATTGGACAATGCACAACACAGGCCTAGGGGCAAGTGAATTCCAATTTGTACTATTTTCTTGTGGAACAATCTAAAATGTATTCTGCTCTAGTAATTCCATTTTAGTAAGTTTTTTCTCCATGTACACTTGTACATGTGTAAACCAACACACACACACACACACACACACACACACACACACACACACACACACACACACACAATTTAGCAAAAACTTTAAAGACTGAATTTTTCACCAAGGGCAAAGATTATCATTCTAATTAGTAAGCAGGCTGCTAGAAAAAGGAGCTGAGTGTGGTGGTGTGGGGTGACATTGTGTCCCCCAGTATATTGTGCACCCTAATAAACTGGGGCCAGAGAACAGAACAGCCACTAGACAGACATAGAGGCCAGAAAATGGTGGCACACACGCCTTTAATCCTAGCCTTCTAGAGGCAGAGATCCATCCAATCTCTGTGAGTTCAAAGCCACACTGGAAACAACCAGACATGGTGGCACACCTTTAATTCCAGCACTTGAGATCTCATGTCTTGCTTGGGAAAGACACACGCCTTTAATCCCAGGAAGTGACGGAAGGAAGCAGAAAGGTATATAAGGCATGAGGACCAGGAACTAGAGGCTTTTAAGCTTTTAGGCTTTTAGCAGCAGTTCAGCTGAGATCCATTCAGATGAGGACAGAGGCTTCCAGTTTGAGGAAACAAGATCAGCTGAGGAATTGGTGAGGTGAGGCTGGATGTGGCTTGTTCTGTTTCTCTGATCTTTCAGAGTTCACCCTAATACCTGGCTCCGGGTTTGTTTTTATTAATAAGACTGTTTAAGATTCTTGTTACAGTGGTGCACAGTCAGCAGTTGGGAGGCTAAGGCAGGGGGATCTGCAGTTCAAGGTCAGGCTGGAAAACAGTGAGACCCCGTATTAATTGAAAAAAAAAGAAAGGAAGGAAGGAAGAAAGAAAGAAAGCCAGGTGGTGGTGGTGCACACCTTTAATCCCAGTACTTGGGAGGCAGAGGTAGGCAGATCTCTGAGTTCGAGGCCAGCCTGGTCTACAAAGTAAGTTTCAGGACAGCCAGGGCTACACAGAGAAACCCTGTCTGGAAAAACCAAAACCAAAAGAAACAAACAAAAGGCAGTGGTAGTGGTGTTGGATGGCAGCAGATTCTACCAATTTTTGCCTTCTTTTGGCAACCCAGATCTCTTCACAGCAGGCAAGTGTTCCACCATGTCACATCCTGGTCTGGAAACGCTGTATTTCTTTTTTCTTTTCTTTCTTTTTTTTTTTTAATTTTTATTTTTTTTTTTTTTGAAACAGGGTTTTTCTGTATAACAGCCGTAGCTGTCCTGGAACTTGCTCTGTAGACCAGGCTGGCCTCGAACTCACAGAGATCTGTCGGCCTCTGCCTCCCAAATGCTGGGATCAAAGGTGTGCACCACCATGACCAGCCACTGTATTTCTTAAAGTGATGAGATCACACGCCTCTTTGGCCACAGCTACCCATCAAGACCTTTCGGCTGAGCCGACTGGTCTCTGCACTTCTTCCCATCGCTCCTGCAGGTTCTCAGATGTCCCGTTTGTCATCACTGTTAAAATCTGTCACTATCCAGTCTAACTCCTACCCAGACAATCTACAGATTAGGTCATGACTGCTCCACTCCTTCTGTCTGTAGAGCAGATCCAGTAGCTCTTAGCACCAGGGACCAAAGATGGCCGGAACTGGTTTTCTATTTCCAGACAAAGGCCATTGGCTTTAGGCTTGCACAGATGGTGAGGGGCAGCACAGAGATCTGAACCCACTGAGAAGGTGTATTTATTTCTACAACAGAAAAGGAAGCAGGCTCACACAGCTCTCTTCCTGTTACACATGGGGTCTGAGTTTTAAGTAGAAAAAAAAATATTATTTACGCCTTCAGAGAACAAGGTCTGACTCTGTAGCCCAGGATAGCCTAGAACTTGCTATGTAGCTCAGGCTAGCTAGAATGCTCAGCAATCCTCCTAAGTGCTGATATTACAGGGGTGAGCTACCACACCCGGCTCCAGCAGAGAATTTAAATACAGACAAACACTCTGATAGTGGGCGTCTTCTTAACCCAGGAATCATCCTTAGAAGATCTGCTGGCATCATCTGGGCTGTAATCAGAAGCATCCCAGCTCTTACCTGACACCTGCGTAAGATGAAGATGCTCTGGCCACGTCTCCTTTAAATCACCTCTGCTCTGAAGTCAGGAACACTGATCAGTTAAAAATGTTTGCCGCTCTTCCAGAGGATACAAATTTGGTTCCCAGTGACCATGTCAGGTGACTCACAACAGCCTATAACTCCAGCTCCAGGGGATCAGACACCCTCTTCTGGCCTCTGAGGACACCTGTACTCACATGCATACACAGTCACATGCAGGCACACACACACACACACACACACACACACACACACACACACACACACACATTAAAAACAATGAAATAGTTCTTAAATTTCCAATATTATGCTCACCTTTTTCAGTAACAAATTCATGCATGCTCTGGCTTCTGATATCCTCTTGACTTGCTGTGTGGCTTTCCTGGAGAACAGGGTTGTTACAGGGTGATCTGTCAATGTGATACAGCAAAAAAGTGATCATGGGTATTTGCCCAGAGAAAACGAAAAGTTTGGGGTGGGTCTCAGCTTCCTGCTAGAGTGAAAATGCCCTAGTGTGTTGGTATTGGTGCAAGATGTCAGTCCTCTGGAGTCATCTGGCTCTGCTTGCTTTATAGCCAGGCAAACAGCTATAAGTCATGTTGGCCCATCTATCTGTCCATCCTTTGTTCTATGCCACAAATAATTACTGAACATCTATTCCATACCAGGTTCATGCTGGATGCTAGAATTAAATCATCTTCAAGGGCCTCCTAGTTTACTGAGAAAAGAAAGAACACATAAATAATAAGTGTCACACTAACCCAGGAACAGGGTGGTCACAGAATAAGTTAAGACCTAAAGCTTTTTTTTTTTTTTTTTTTTTCTGAGACAGGGTTTCTCTGTGTAGCTTTGGAGCCTGTCATGGAACTCACTCTGTAGACCAGGCTGGCCTTGAACTCACAGAGATCCACCTGCCTCTGCCTCCAGAGTGCTGGGATTCCCCCCCCCCCTCCGGAGTTGAGGACCGAACCCAGGGCGTTGCGCTTGCTAGGCAAGCACTCTACCACTGAGCTAAATCTCCAACCCCACTGGGATTCCTTATAAAAAGCTGAACAGCTAGTAGGTAGGCAGGAGAGAGAGAGGCGGGGCTGGCGGGCACAGAGAATAAATAAGAGGAGACAGGGTTTCTCTGTGTAGCCTTAGCTGTTCTGGAACTCAATCTGTAGACCAGGCTGGCCTCGAACTCAGAGATCCGCCTGCCTCTGCCTCCTGAGTTCTGGGATTAAAGGCGTGTGCCACCACTGCCCAGCTTCCTCTCCCTTCTCATGTCCCTATAATTTGTCACCACTGCCCGGTGACCCAAAGCTTTTTGAAATGCCATGCAGCAACAGAATGGGTGTTGTAGCTACAAGACAAAAAAGCAATCCAGTGGTTTCCTGTAGGTCAGCAGAGAATGCTTGAAGACAAGCAAAAACGTAACAGGTCACCCGAAAACAGACCACTAGCATGGCTTCAGCGCTCTCCATGGGAGCACTGGAAGGCAGGGAACAGTGGAACCAAATCACCAACACACCAAGAGAAACAGCACCATTAGTCTAGGGCGGATGTAGCTCAGTGGTAAAGCGCTTGACTAACATGCACAAGATCATGGGTTCAGTCCCCAGCAGCAGGAAGGAAGAAAAACGTCTTAGGCTGGAGAGATGGTTCATAGGTTAAGAACACATGTTGCTCTTCCAGAGGACCAGAGTTCAGTTCCCAGCATCCACATCAGGAAGCTCACAATGGCCTTTAGCTCTAGCTCCAGGGGATCTGATGGCCTCTTCTGGCCTCCAAGGGTATCCAAAACCTGTGGCATACACTTACAAAAATGTACACATGTATACATAATATTGAATAAATATAAAAATAAATCCAGGACTGTAGAGAAGACTCGGCATTTAAGAGCACTCACTGCGCTTGCAGAGGAACAGGGTTTGGTTCTGAGCACCCACATGGCAGCTCATGGCTGTCTATAATTCTAGTTCCAGGGGACCCAATATCCTCTTTTGGCTTGTCTGGGTACCAGGCACCCACATGGAGCACATGCACACACACATGCAGGCAAAACACCCACACACATAAAATAATAAGTAAAATCTTAAAAAAATATTCAAAGCTGTAAATTGAAGTAGGATAAAGGAAATTATGGGGACACGAGAAGGGAGAGGAAGCCGGGCGGTGGTGGCGCACGCCTTTAATCCCAGCACTCGGGAGGCAGAGACAGGCGGATCTCTGTGAGTTCAAGGCCAGCCTGGTCTACAGAATAAGTTCCAGAACAGCTAAGGCTACACAGAGAAACCCTGTCTCAAAAACCTGGGGTGAGAGGGGGAGTCCAATTACTCTAGAGTCTGATTAACATTTTGCAGCTAAGAAGCAAGAAATCCAGCACAATCAACCACATCTGGGAAAGGCTGATAACAGTACCCCTTTCATATGCAGGCACTTTGTGTTAAAACAGCAGTTAAGGCCTGAATGTATATGACCCTGGATAGGGTCTCATTCCTAATAAAAAGCTGAACGGCCAATAGGTAGGCAGGAGAGGGACAGGCAGGGCTGGTGGGCAGAAAGAATAAATAGGAGGACTCTAGACTCAAGAAGAAGAGAAGGAGGAAGAAGAGAAGAAGGGAGAAGAGAACGAGGGAGAAAGAGAGGGACACACAAGCCAGAGTCACCAGCCGGACATGAGGAGCAGTGAAAGTAAGATACACAGAAGAAAGGTAAAAAGCCCCCCAAGGCAAGAGGTAGATGAAGAGAAACAGTTTAAGTTAAAAAGAGCTAGGCAGACGGGTAATGCCTGGGGGGCGCTCACCAACCTAAGGCAAAGTGCCTGTGTGGCCTGGGCAGACGTCTCCATGACGGGTAAGGTGACCTGCTGACGTCCCAAGCAACCTAAGTCAAAAGCTCATTTTTTAGTAAAAAGGGGACCTGTAGGGCTCTGGCCCCCGTTGTGGGTAACTGTTGCCTTGCTTGCTGATCTTGACCTTGAAATCTTACCTATGCTAATTCCCTGCCAGGTTCCACCCTCCTGAATGCTTAAGGGAAGTTCCTTGGCTGTGTATCCTGCATATTGGGTGTTAACAGCTTAGATGCAAGATTGTAAAACATTGGTAGTGAACTTCTGCCCTCCAGGGTTCTCCCAATGTGCTGTAAGCCTGTATTTAAGACCTCTTCCCTCCTTCAATAAACGGCATTCGGCATTAAAAAAAAAAAAAAAAAAGTCTGGTCCAGCACCTCACTTGGAGAAGCCCACACGCATGCTCTCTTCATTTTCCTCTGCAACCCTCCTTTCTCCTGATCCTTGTGCTTAAACCTGTTCAAATATCTGCAGTGGCTGGAGAGATGGCTCCATGGCGAAGAGTGTTGGCTGCTCTTCCAGAGGACCTGAGTTCCCAGCACCTTTCTACAGTGGCTCACAACTGCCTGGAACTCCAGCTCCAAGGATCTGATGCTCTCTTCTGGGCCTCTGAGGGCATCTGCACATATGTGGTATACACACACACACACGTAAATAAAAATAAAATAATTGTGTGTGTGTGTGTGTGTGTGTGTGTGTGTGTGTGTGTGTATCTTTAATAAAATTTCTACCTCTGCTTTGCTCTACTGATGAGTCCTGGAATTCTTTTCAGCACTGAAGCCATGAATACTAGTTTGGACAGAGTAAAAGGTCCCCAGAACTCTAGGGGAACTCCTCAGGCTGCTAAGGATGGCAGTGTGGAGCTGCAGCCTGTGAAGCTGACATAATGAACAGGGTCAGGAGCCCTGGCACTCTTGACACTTGAGGGCTCTTTGTAGTAGAATATTATTTTAAGGTGTGTTACTTTTGTTTATGTTGCATTTGTTTAACTCTGTGAAGCTGTGTTACTTTGCCTGTCTAAAACACCTGATGGTCTAATAAAGAGCTGAACAGCCAATGGCAAGGCAGGAGAAAGGATAGGCGGGGCTAACAGGCAGAGAGAATACTTAGAAGGAGAAATCTGGGAGGAGAGAAGAAGTAGCCAGAGAAGGAGGAGGACTCTAGGGGTCAGCCACCCAGCCATACAGCCAGCCATGGAGCAAGAGTGAAAGTAAGTAAGATTACAGAAGTAAGAAAGGTAAAAGTCTAGAGGTGAAAGACAGACAGGATAATTTAAAGTTAAGAAAAGCTGGCAAGAAACAAGCCGAGTTAAGACCGGGCATTCATAATTAAGGAATAAGCCTCCAAGCGTGATTTACTTGGGAGCTGGGGGGCAGGCCCCTCAAACGAGCCCCAAACAGCCAACAACAGCTCTTTGTCAGGAGAATGTCTTGTGCACTGAGGCGCTTATATTGACTGAAACAAAAATGCACCCTCTCCTGGCCATTTCTTGGTGCCAAGACCCAGGTCAAACCCAAGGGCATAGCTAAGTATGTTCAGATGGACCCATGCAATGTAGGGGTAATAACTGAGAAGCAAGCCAGCCTTGCCCTCCATAGCAGCCTGCTTACCTTTCATGTGGTTGCATCGTGAGCTTTCCTCTGCGGTCAGCTTCCTTGGAAAGCCTCTCTCGTGGGTTGTAGAGAAACTGGAAGACTGCTTCAGTGATGTGGGATGTCCTTCTGCACGCTGCAAATACATGTTGCTTTTATTAGTTGATGAATAAGGCTGCTTTGGCCTATGGCAGGGCAGAATATAGCTAGGTGGGAAAGCCAAACTGAATACAGAGAGAAAGAAGGGCAGAGTCGAGAGAGACACTGAGGGCCACAGGGGAGCAAGATGTAATGGAACACAGGTAAAGTCATGAGACATGTGGCGATACCAAACCGTTTGTAATTAATATAAGCCCCTGTGTGTTTATTTGGGACCGAGCGGCTGTGGAACACAGGAAAACTTCCAGCTATACTTCAGGGGAGCATTTTTTTTTTTTTTTTTAAGAATATAGTTAGTAAAACTGGTACGAGAGAGATACTGGCACCTTAGCTGTACCTCATCATTCTCAGTAAAGGCACATGTGTGAGAAGAGCTTTCTGGTCCAGCCTGACAATTTCAAGACCATGGCAGAGAGAAGGGGTCAGAGGGGAAAACACAAAGGGATGATGTGGAGTGGGGGCCAGCAGTGGGTTGTCACTCAGCAGCCAGGGATCTGGGGCAGTCACTGAGTATCTTTGCTCCCTGGGCTTCCTTAAAGATGAACTGCCACAACTTGCAATGTGCACTGTGGCTCCTGGGAATGGCTCCAAACCCACTGCCGCCATTTCTAAGTCTGGCAGTGCCCGGCCTTCACTAATGTTTCTTTAAGCAACTGCTGTGGTGTCTGGTGCTTGCCAGTCACTGAAACCTAGTCCCTGTCTTGAAGCACCCCAGATTAGCAGGACGCTTTCATAACAGTGGCTCAAGCTAGGACCTGCTCTCCCACAGAAACCACGCTAAGGCTCAGGACTCTTGACTTCTCCCACCTTCGGGTTTCACTCTAAGGACACTGTCCCCAGGGACCAAGATGGCAGCCAGAGCTCCAGTCACCACATTCACACTCCAGGAGGCTGACTAGGAAGGGAAACTAGGAAGGATCCATACAAGCCTCTCAAAGGAAGGAAGGATCCCATAAACGGACACATAGTCCGTCCACATATCTCACTGACTCCACCGACCAGTCACACAGCTATGCATAGATATGGGAGAGTCTTTGTTTTTTTTTTTTTTTTTTTTTTTTTTTTTTTTTTTAATTCAGAGCTAAGGACCGAACCCAGGGCCTTGCACTTGCTTGGCAAGTGCTCTACAACTGAGCTAAATCCCCAACCCCATATGGGAGAGTCAAGGAAATATCTTCATTGTGGTCATGTACTTGTACAACAACAACGAAAAATCCTAAGTGTAACAACAAATGATGGAGAGGATTGAGGGCAAGGAGCCCTGAGTCGCTGCTGATGTGGGGTACAAATTAATACAACTTTTATGAAAATCAGTTTAGAGGTTTTTCAGAAAATAAAAACTAAAACTACCATATGACCCTCACCCCTGGGCAGACATTCGAGCACAGATATCCTCACACCTACCACCCAAACATGTTTACAGCTCCTCTGTTCACTTCAGCGGGGAGATGGAAGCTGCCCAGCTGTCCAACAACACATGAACAGATCATGAAAATCTAGTCCACCTCACATTTCTGGGAACTGGCCAATCCATGTCCTCAGCTTTCACTCCTGCCTCAACTTCCCTCACCTACGAAGCTCTGTATCACCCACCGCCTCTCTGTTCCCTGAGTAGCTCTATCTCCCTCCCTCCCTCCCTCCCTCCCTCCCTCCCTCCATTCCTCCCTCCCTCCCATCTCAGGGCTTTGCACAAGCTGTCCCTGCTTCCTAAAAGGCTCCCCATTCATTCTCCCAGTAGCTCCTCAGGTTCTGAGCTCACAAGGCACTTTTCTGGGAGTACCATTTGTCACATGCACACTCTTCCTCTCCACATCCCAGGGTCAAAGCCTCACACTGCTCTTCTTCTTCAACCCTTCCCATGCACCACACCTGCCTGAGACAAGACAGAAAAAGCCACGAGAGGAACTGGTGTTATGGACTCGTGTCCGGGAGGGCTGCTGATAGGAGCTGACTGCTTCCTGAAGGACACAGAATACCCAGGACAGCCAGTCCCCAAGAACACTGTTTATGAGACAGAACCTCTCAGTGGCCTGGAACTCCATGATTAGACTAACTGACTGGCCAATGATCGCTGGCCATGGCCTCTGCCTCCCCTGCAGTCAGATGACAGGCACACACCATCATACCCAGCCTTTTTTACATGGGTTCTGGGGACTGAACTCAGGTCTTCATGCTTTTATCAACAGAGCTATCTTCCAACTCAAATTCCTCCTTAGAAAGGATGCCGTCCACCACCTTCTTTAAAATTCACTGAAGGAATGGAAGATTTGATCAAGTCCTTGACAGGTTTCTGGGAGCTCTGATTTATAGTGAGTCACAGAAGAATCGGCTCTATTACAGGTCCTCAATACGTGAGCAAGACAAGGGCAGGTGGCAGGTTGGTCTTGGAGAAACCATGGTTTGGTGTCCTGAATTCTGGACTCTCGGATAGTCTGCAGCCTCCAAAATGCATGTTTTGAATGCAGCCAGCTGCATTCACTGAGCAGATGGGGGACTGTCTGCTCCTAGTTAGAGACTCTATCACCAGCGCATCCAAACACCCCTCCAGTCCTGGTTTGCCATTCAAATTTCAGCTGCTTTCAAGATTCCAGTTTTTGATTATTCTATTTCCAGGACAGAAGATGGGATCTCTCAGTTGGGTTCTTGCAATAAATGTCAGAAGGCTTTCTGTGTTTTGGTACAAAGGAACCTATTTGTTTTGGGCACTGTGGCTGGCAGTGCCCAAATACTGACTAATATTTTGATGCTGATCTCTGAGGGACAGTTGGCCTCAGCAATGCTCATTCTGTCTGTGCTTGGGGCAGGAGTGATATTTATAGAGCTCCATCTCATGCTAGGCACAGGGCCTAGAGCTTACAAAGGAAGTCCCGATACCCTATGGAGTGCCTTCTTCTTCTTTTTTTTTTTTTTTTTTCCCCCGAGACAGGGTTTCTCTGTGTAGCTTTGCACCTTTCCTGGAACTCACTTGGTAGCCCAGGCTGGCCTCGAACTCACAGAGATCCACCTGGCTCTGCCTCCCAAGTGCTGGGATTAAAGGCGTGCGCCACCACCGCCCGGGCTGGAGTGCCTTCTTGGTGGCAGGCCTACTTCTGAAGATGAAGGAGTTCAGACAGTGACAGGAGACAACCCCTCCCTCATAGAGTTTACATACTAGCCGAGGGAGAACTCCAACCAACAAGAAACCCTCAGTGAGAATGGGAGACCATTACAAGAGGCACAGGGCATGGAGGTGGGTTGCATCATCTCTGTGCTGAGGCCCAGCCTCTTCATACTGAGTGCTCCAAGATAAACACATGGCATCTAACATGGCATCAGGCTTCATGTGGTGTCAGATACGGGCACTCGGTCATCAGAAAAAGGCATGTTGACCTAGGGCTTCAAGATCGGTGTGGACGTGGCCATGGTCAGCATGAATGCTCAGAAAGAAAAGGGATGGGGCTTGTTTCATTAGGAGCATCCTCTAGACGGGGCCAAGAAACGCAGCTCTGAGCATGAGGGTGAAGGGGGTCATGAGGGGGTTGTGAGGGGAGTCACTGTACTCTGTGGCTGTAGTGCGGTAGTAGAATGTTTGCCCTCTCAGGAGGGGATGGGGGAGATGGGGAGAAAAAGAGGGTGGGGGGAGATACAGAGACAGAAGAACTGAGCCCCGGATGTGAGCCTGGAGCCACGAGCCTGCCTATCTGGGGCTCAGCCTGGACTCAAAGCCTGGGTCTGTTCCTCTCACGTTCCTGGGGTTGTCCCCCATGCTCTTTTCATATATGGATAATCTGGGGCCTAACAAGCCCCTCTCTGAGAAAGTGGGGTAGAACAGGACAGGGAGATCCAGGACAGGCACCAAAACTACACAGAGAAACCCTATCTCGAAAAACAAAAAAACAAAACAAAAAAAACAAGAACAGGACAGGGATGTGCCTTCCATAGAAGGCCACAGGTGCTCCAGGAAACCTGGGGTTGTAGCAGCTTCAGGGCCTTGTGAAGTTCAGGGTCCAGGTCTGTGCTCCCCACTTACCAGAAGGGTATGGAATTTCTTGTTTTTGTAGTGGTCCATCTTTGGGAAGGAGGTTCTCATACAAGTGAAGAGGGTGAACTCTCTTCCTAGGAGAGAGAAAAGCTGCTCTGTAGTGTCTGGTCACTGCATGTGAGATCGTAGGGGCCCTAGACGATCCTCCTGGAAGCATTGACAAGAGCAGAGGTGACCCCAGGCAAGCACAGGCCTCTGCTCAACAGGCAGAGCAGACGAGCTAGCACAGACTAATGTCCACACGGCCACATGTGCAGGGCGCAGTGCACAGGACCACAAAATAAGCCACAGTGGCGTCGCATGAAACTAACAACCCGGACTCCTACAAGACTGAGCTAAGTGCCAGGTAAAACGTTCCTTGGTTTGTTTTTCAGACAGCATTTCTCTGTGTAGTCCTGACTTTCCTGGAGACAGGACCTCTCTACTCTGTAACTCTGGCTATAGACCAGGCTGGCCTCGAACTCACAGAGACCTACCTGCCTCTGCTTCCCAAATGCTGGGATTAAAGGTGTGCACCACCACCGCCTGGCCTCCTGACTCCTCCTAAACATGTTTTGTTTGTTTGCTTTTGAAACAGGGTCTTACTATCGAGCCCTGGCTGGCCTTGAACTCAATCTAGAAACCAGGTTGGTCTCTAATTTGCAATCCTCTTGCCTCAGCTTCCCAAGGGCTGGCATTAGAAGTGTGTGCACCTGGCCTGGCTGGGTTAAAAGTTTGGAAAGGAAAATCCAAGGCTAAAGAGATGAGTTGGCCGGGCGGTGGTGGCGCACGCCTTTAATCCCAGCACTCGGGAGGCAGAGCCAGGCGGATCTCTGTGAGTTCGAGGCCAACCTGGACTACCAAGTGAGTTCCAGGACAGGCGCAAAGCTACACAGAGAAACCCTGTCTCGAAAAACCAAAAAAAAAAAAAAAAAAAAAAAAAAAAAAAAAAAAAAAAAAAAAAGAGATGAGTTGGTGGTAAAGCATACTCCGCTCTTACAGGGGACCTGGCGCCATTGTCAGCATCCCCAGAGTGGCCACAAACATATGCAACTCCAGTTCCTGGGAATCCAACGCCCTCTTCTGGCCTCTATAGGCACCAAGCACACACATGTGGCACATAGACTTACATGCAGGCAAAACACTCATACACATAAGATAAGTCTAAAAAAAACAGAAAAAAATTAAAACAACAACAAAAGTAAAAAAAAAATCTAGGGCTGGGACATTGCAGGGTTAGAGTTCAGGATTAGCATGTGCTAAGGCTCTGGGTTTGAGCCCTGAAACCACCAAAAAATATCTATCAATATCATCAAGAAAAACTATCAATATGATAATATAGTAAGTTGTTAAACTTTCGATGCATCAAAACAAAAAATATTGAGCATAGCTAATCCTTTAGAGGCAAGGATAAAGACAATTTAAGGACTGGTTTCTTCTTTTTTTTTTTTTCTCCCCACTTAGAAAAACAAAATAAAACCCTGGTCTACAGAGGGAGTCCCAGGTCAGCCAGGGACACACAGAGAAACCCCATCTGTACCTGCGGGCTAGGGAAAGCATGTCTGTTTGCTTAGGACAGTGACAGCAGAGGCAGGCAGGCTCTGGTCCTGGGAAAGGGGGCGCTGTTACAATTTCCAGACCAACACTGCAGCCTGCTCTCTGCAAGGGGTACAGCCAGACTCTTCCTTGGAACCCCAAACTGATATTTCAGCTTCACTGTGGCTGCAGGTGGGGGGGGGTGTCTTGCTCAGCTGCAGGCTCCAATCGACTTAACCTCCACAGCTTCTACACCAGTCGGTTCCCTTCTACCTGTTTGAAACATGAACCTTCAAATGTCAGTGTGAATGCTCCGCACTGCACTGTTGGTGTCCTGGTACTGCACCATGTGCCTCTGCACCCTGTCTCCACCCAAGGTGGGTACAATCCACGTGCTGTAGCTCAAGTGCCTCCCATTGCCCTTGGATAGGGAGGAGAGGCAAGGCTCACATGCCCAATGATACTCTCAGCCCAGGGCCTGGCTCATGGAACTCTTGACGTGACGTGATGTGATGTGACATGACATGACATGATATGACATGACATGACCATCACAGACTCTTAAACTAGCCGCCAAAGTGAAATAGCAATGGCAATGAGCTGTAGAGTACTCACAGTGTAGTTGACATATGGGCAGTAGAATTTTCTGTTCTGTAGTAGACCAGGTTGGTTTCAAACTTGAGAAAAGCCTCCTGTATCCGCCTACTAAGTGCTTGGATTAGAGTTGTGTGCCACCAAGACATGTCTATGACATGACATGTTGAAGGAAATAAAAAAGTTGGTATTGTGCAAGTTACTCTTCTGACCATCAGTGTTCTCATCTGTGATGTGCACGTAGGGTCTCCTTAAGTTCACTTGGTTGTCATGGGGATGAAACAATACACAGAGGTTCCAGCAAGTCCCAGGCACCAGTAAACTCCTAGGTTCCTATTAACTAGCTTTCCATATTCTATAGTACAACATACAGACCGGATAGAGTATAGAACATGCAAGCCTCATAGACAATGCTAGAACATGCAGACCTGACAGAGTATAAAATATGCAGGCCTCACACACGATACTAGAACATACAGACCCAATAGAGTACAGAACACATAGGCCTCGTAGATGATGCAAGAACATGCAGACCCAATAGAGTATAGAACATTCAGACCTCACACATGATACTAGAACATACAGACCCAACAGAGTATAGAACACGCAAGTCTCATAGATGATACTAGAACACATAGACCTGATAGAGTATAGAACACACAGGCCTCATAGATGATACTAGAACATATAGACCTGATAGAGTATAGAACACACAGGCCTCGTAGATGATACTAGAACATATAGACCTGATAGAGTATAGAACTCACAGGTCTCGTAGACAATACTAGAACACACAGACCTTATACAGTATGGGAGAACAGACAGACAAGAGGGTAGATTTGCTTGTTTGCTTATAGCTCTGTGGATGGGACTCGTGGTCTTGTACATACTAGGCAATCTCCGTGCCAGAACTGGGTGTCCCCAGCCTTTCTACCCAATGTAAAATTCTACTCCTCATATTCATAAACACTGATACTTTATTCATCTGATAGAGAGTTTGGAAGGCTGTGAAAGAGAACCTGGCAGAGACATCAATGTCCCAGTACTCTGCCTCAGTTACATTGTGGCTGGGTTGTGTAAGGAAGCAGAAGAGACAGGGCCAGAGCTGGGAACTTACCCCTTATAAGTCGACTGCTCTGTAACATCAATTCTTCTCTCCGGAACCTCTCTGGATCCAGTTCTGAGTAGTCCCAACTGTCATAGCTCTGTGGGCAAGGATATGTCCCTAAAAGAAGCCAAGAGTGGTGATGGCCACTTCCACCAGTGAGAACGGAGCAGGACAAAGGGAAGCAGAGGCCTTGAGCCTCCTCCTGGTTACAGGGAACCGGAGATCTGCTGATAGCATTGTCCTGGCCTTGTCACGTCCTCTCTAGAGGGTTTCTTCACCCGCAGAATGGGGGCAATGCTACCCGCCCTGCCATCTTCTGGTGCCTGGGTGTGTGACTCTGTGACAAGTGTTAACGAAGATGCCACAGTTACCCACTTTCTTACTCGCCTCCCGTTGTTCTTGCTGGACAACGAGCTCCCTTCCCCAGGAGCAGGGGCTGGGGCGGTCATGTCTGTGTCCCCAGGGCCTCCTGCTGGACCCGGCAGCAGTAACTAAGTAAGTGCTTAGTGAAGGTTTCTTCAACACACTCTCAGGCTACACTGAGCCCCAGAAATGATGCTTCCAAGGGTCACTGGGGAAATCTGAGCCACTGTGCACTAGGAGTAGCCGGGAGGTTTATTTCTGGTGATTAGTTAGGTGAAAACAGGACCAGGGAGAAGGAGCAGCAGGAAGAAGGTGGGAAATGAGAGAGACAGGTTGCCATGGTGACCCAAGTTGGAGAGAACAACCCTGGGTCTAAAACATGGCATTCAGTTGTTTGCTCTTGAACTTCTTTAACCCTTCATGTTCAGAGGGCTGAAAGGGTGTGCCGTGAAGAGTTCATACAGCAGGCCCAAGACTTCCGGCCTTAGAAAAGTCTGCAATGCTAGGCCTTGGCTAGAGTCTGGGAACACAGCCGGCAAACAGTTCCTCGCACTGACCCAAAACTACTTTTAATGCGTGCACTATTGTTCCTGGGCTGTCAGTGTAGAATGTGACCTAACTAAACGCCAACCCTCCAGGACTGAAACACCGGATAGACAGAGGTGTCTCCAAGAGGACCCTGAATGAAGCCTTGGCCTCTGAATCCCTGATGTGCTGCTCCTGGGCAGAGACATCACACACTCGTCGCTACATCTCCCTGGCAGGTAGATAAATGGGCTCTGTGTGACTCCTGCGGTAAGGAGGGAGTGAGCACTAGGCAGCCTGCACAGGGATCCTCCAAAGCACGCCCCTCCTCCTCTACAATCCAGCTGTGCTTCCTACTGGACACGGGAACGCTTAGCCATGGTGACCAAGCTCCTTATGAGGAAGTGACCTTCTCATCCGTCTTGTTCCCAACATAAAATGTCAAAGGTGCCTGTTTCGTACAATATCTAGCCAGCAAAAATCTCACGATAAAGAGCAGCATTCAGCGATCTCAGGAAGGTTCTAGGTTGAGAAGGCGAAGTGGGGAAAGGAGTGAAGTTGCTGCGAAGCCAGCGTGGAGCTGGCCACATGGACCATGCTGCTCTGGGGTGACGGGAACATGGATAACAGGGCTGAACCGGTACTTGCTGCCTTGCTCCCTGCAGATGAGGTGAAACACAGACTCTGATCAGGCAGCCATGTTTCCGAACTTTCTAGAAGGAAAGGGGACTAGGGACTGCAGCTCAACTCCCTCTCTCCCTCTCTCTTCCTCTCTGGTGTTCTGAGATGGGTCTAAGTAACTCTGGTTGGACTGATACTTGCCCTGTAGCCCAGGCTGACCCAAACTCATAGCAATCTTCCTGCTTCTGCCTCCCGAGTGCTGAGACTGCACCACCATGCCCAGCTTTAACTTTCTTTATAGTTCATTTTGGCTGCGATATTCATTGAGTTTTTTAAGGCAGGGTCTTGCCATGAGTTCAGGCTGGCCTTGAACCTTCAAAATCCCTGCTATAGCCTCTCAAACACAAGGGATACAGGCATGCAGCACCAAGCTCAGACTCTTCACTGTCAAGGAGAGAACAGGAAAGCTGTCGTGATGCAGAGCGTTAGGCAGCCAAAAAACACACCCAGCCTCCAGTAGAAAACATTTTTGAACTAACTTCCTTCCCTAGTGGGTAGAAAGCCCCTCCCCTCTCACCTGAGATCCACAGGCCCATCGTGTTACAAATCTCCGACTTGAATTCGTGGGTGTTGAACCAGGACTGGGGGAAGCAGCAGCAGAAGCTGGTGTACAGGGCTTTGCTCAGGAGCGACGGGAGCCTCTGGGAGAAGCAGAGCTCAGCATCAGTCCCGGTGCCTCTGCTCTCAGAGAAGAGCCCTGGCTGAGCCAAGAACCTGGGACCAAATTCCTTCCCAGCGCCAGGCTGCCTTCCTTTCTGTCTTGGGCTGTCTCCCCATCCCCAGATGTCACCAGGATGCTCCTCAGGAACTAGGCTCTGCTCAGTCAGCAACCTCCACCTTCCCCTGGCATGCCTCCACAGTGTTCTACCGCTCAGTGCGTCTACACTCTGCTCAGAGCACAGGCCAGGAAATACCAAGACATGGAGATGTCTACACCAACATACACATGCATCTCCCTATCACTGTCTCCCCCAAATAATGAGATGAGGACTCACCATGCAGCCCAAGAACTTATGAAAATCCTCTCTCAGTCTCCTGAACGCTGGAATTAACTATAGGAGTGAACCACTGTACAAAGTTTAAAAGGGGGTCCTCTCCTCTCTTCTCTGTGTGATGCTGGAAACTGAACTTGGGACCTCACACATGTTGAAAAGTACTCTGTTTCTGGGCTACACCCCCAGTTCCAAGGGTGTTCAATTATTATTTTTATTTCCATTTTGTTTTGTGGCTAAATTTTTCTCCTATCCATACTTCTTTCTTGGTAAATTTCTCATTTTTGTACTTTTATCCATGGATCTATGAGATGTCCGATTTTTTAAATTTGTTTTAGACTTGAGTGTTTTGCCTGTATATATGTTCATGTAGCACATGTATGCTGGGTACCTGCAGAGGTCAGGAAAATACATAGGATCCCCTGGAACTGCAGTTTAAGATGGTTATAAGTTACCATATGAGTGCTGGGAACTAAACCCATGTCTTTGTAAGAGCAACAAGGGCTGTTCACTGCCGAGCCATCTCCCCAGTCCCAAGATGTTGAATTTTTCTCACTGATTTGCAACAGTTCTTTATGCTGTGTGACAGACACACTACCAGGTGCTGGAGAGTTGGCACAGTGATTAAGAACGTTAGCTGCGCCAGGCGGTGGTGGTGCACACCTTTAATCCCAGCACTCGGGATGCAGAGGCAGGTGGATCTTTGTGAGTTCGAGGCCAGCCTGGGCTACAGAGTGAGATCCAGGAAAGACGCAAAGCTACACAGAGAAACCCTGTCTCAAAAAACCAAAAAAAAAAAAAAAAAGAACGTTAGCTGCTCTTACAGAAGGGCCAGTTTCAATGCCCAGAACCCACAAGGCAACTCACAGCCATCTGCAACTTCAGTTCCAGGGGCCCCAGTGCCACCTTCTGACCTCCACAGGCACCAGGCATGAACATGGTGCACAGACATACATGTAGGCAAAACACTCATACAAAGACAAATCTAAAAAAATGCCACCAGTATTTCTGTATAGACTGTTATTTGCATCTTAATTTTGTGTGTAGTAGTTCCAAAAAACTATACAGTCAATGGGTAGGTGTAGTGACACAGGCTTGTAATCCTATCACTTGGAGATTGAGGCAGGAGGATGGAGAATTTGAGGCTAGTCAAGACTACATAGTCAGTTTGAAGCTAGACTGGGTTAGAGTGATACCTTGTCTCACTATATATCTATATACCTATATATCTATATATAAAGCTATATAGCTTTATATATAGATATATAGTTACATAGTCCAATATACATACATATAGATACATAGTTCAATCTATCAGCCTTTTGCTTTATGGCTGCTTCTCCTGGATCATGTTTACACTGTCCTTCCTCACCTGCAAATGATCTAAATATTGACACATTTCTTCCAACAATCTCTTTAGGTCATATACGCATCCGCAGAAAAGGTAGACATGTGTTTACACTTCTCATTTTAACATTACAAGCTTATTCAAATACTATAGAAACATGAAATAGAATAGTAAAGGGGATAGAAGAATGGTGGAGCAGTTAAGAGCACTGGATGCTCTTCCAGAGGACCCAGGTTCAATTCCCAGCACCCACAGGGCAGCTTACAGACAACTGTCACTCCAGTTCCAGGGGATCCAAGGCCCCCTTCTGGCCTTTGCTGGCACTATGTGCACACGGCACACACAGATACATAGGCAAAACACCCACACACATAAATAAAGAAGTTTTAATTTAAAAAAAAAATAGAGAAATGAAATCTCTTAGCACCCCACTCGCCATTGCTAAGAACTCAGCAGATATTTTCCAGATTTGTTTTCTATTCTTGGGTGTGCATGTGTGCGCATATACACACAGAGTTGTGTCACCATCTAATGGTGAGAATACATTGAGAACTGCATCAATAGGTGATTTCATCATTGTATACACACCACAGACCGTACTTACACAAATTATAACGGCTTGTCACCTTTTGTAATATTAACTCACGGGGTCACTGCCAGAGATGCAAATTATGATGAACTGAATTGTTTGTTCCAAAGTGTGTGTCTCCTATATACACATCATTTTAAAGCACTGAATAACTTGCTTCCCCTTCCCCAACTCAAAATATATTGTTACATCTTCCCCAGTGAGTGTAGGACTCAGTCATACTTCTTTGCAATGGCTTAATTATAAGCTCGGGCACGGGTACTTATCACTCCTTTATGGAAAGTCTGTTTGGAGCATTTTCCTGCCAGCAAAGGTGCTTTCTAAGCGGCAGGTGACACTCACTTTTATGAGTGCCTCTTCATAGTGAGTCCGGACCATTTTGAACAGCAGGATGGCGTAATTTTGGGCTATTCGGTCAAACAGTTTGTGCTGGATCTCCTTGTTTGGCTACCAGGTGAGAGACAGACAAGTATCAGTATGCCTGCTGCAGCTGCCAAGGGCTACCATGCTTTCTGTCTGTTGTTTTAGCAAACATGGCCTCACCAGGTGACCCCAGGCTGGTCTGGAATCGCACCACCACAGCTGGCGTGGGTCTGCAATTCAGGCAAAGCATTGCTCTCAGTGGTCAGAACCTTACTCTCCAGAGCAGTGGTTCTCGACCTCAGGCTACGACCCTTTAATCCAGTAGCTCATGCTGTGCTGACCCCCACCATAAGCTTATTTTCATTGTTACTTCATAACTGTAATTTTGCTACTGTTATGAATTGTAATGCAAATATCTGATATGCAACCCCTGTGGAAGGTCATATGACCCCCCCCCCCCAAGGGGTGGCAACCATGGGTTGAGAACCACTGATCTGGAGAGTTAGCTTCCTATGCTTTGAGGAATGAGCTGCTTGCCTGCTGTCCACATAAGCACGCGTGGAGTGTCAGGGAAGAAAACCCCCTAACTCTGGGCCAGGAGGTCCCAAGCACTCCTCTCACCCCTGTCTGGAGCCACTAGCAGGGGAGCTGCAGGGCACTGTGTAACAGCAAAAGTTCAGGTACACGGGCAGGGCCTGCGGAGGGAGGTCACAGGTTGTCTGCACAGGTGACTCATGGAACAGAGGGACTTGTTGCCCATGCTAAAGACAGGGCTCTGTTCCGCAGGAAAGCAAGATAAGCGAGGGAGGAGATGGGGATTCACATTTACCTGGTACCGTTCGTGAAATATCCACCAAAAGCTGTCCAGCCAGATGGCGCTGAAGGACGGAGAAGACAGAAACTTCTCTAATTCTCTGTCTGAACAGTAAGACTTGAAAAGAAACAAAATTCCCATTAGTATTGTGGTCATTGTTATTGTTACTGCTATTGTTGCTCAAGATGCCTGGAGCTTGTGATTCTCCTGCCTCAGCCTCCTGAGGGCTGAATCCCTAACCATGAAAACAAACAAAAAAGGCCCCTAAGCTTCCAGTGAGTCCTCATGATTTTCATGGCCCGATGACAAATGACATGACAGTTTCTCTTAACCTAGCTGGAATCTTGGAGCCCACATTATTATCACGGACTCGGAAACTGAGGCCCCGCAGTTCAGGACACTGAGGACCACAGAGCTCAAAGGATTTACCCAAAGGAATATGACCAGCAAGTGCCAGAGCCAGTACTAGGAACCCACAACTCTAGATGGAGGCACCCAGGCACCCCTCCCTCTCACGGCTGAACAGCAGCAGTTGCAAAACTGTGTGGCTATTCCACAAATGCAAGGGTAGAGCCACGGGAGTCTACTGAATCAGTAATAAATATACACGAGTCAAAAATTAAAACCATTATTCACAAACTCAGAGGAGCAAAGCTTTATCTTGTGTTGTCCCCACCATATCATATACATATTACGGAATGATGCCTGTGTGTCTGTTACTGGCTAACACACCTCACTCTTCATCTCACTCAGGTGGGACTGACTCAGCATAGCCAGGCAGCAGGAAGGAGCCAGGAAGAGGGGGAGGAGGAGGGGAGGAGAAGAAAAGAAGGGAAGAGGAGAGATAAAGAGAGACAAGGAGACGGCTCTGTGTGTGTGTGTGTGTGTGTGTGTGTGTGTGTGTGTGTGTGTGTGTGTGTGTGCGCGTGCGCACACAGCAGTGAGTGCAGCTGACATGTGAGTCCCAGGAATGGAAGGCTGACCAGTTAAGAGCTAATGGATCAATGACCAATGACCAGAGCTGTTTCGGGGAAAGAGATTATGTAACCATAAAAGATGAAGAGACCAGCTGGGCGGTGGTGGTGGCAGCGGCGGTGGTGGCGCACGCCTTTAATCCCAGCACTCGGGAGGCAGAGCCAGGTGGATCTCTGTGAGTTCGAGGCCAGCCTGGGCTACAGAGTGAGTTCCAGGAAAGGCACCAAAGCTACATAGAGAAATCCAGCTACACGGCCACTAAGAGCGCTCTGAGCGTCTTCCCTCTGCAGACCTCCACATAGCTGTCGCCTGCCTCTGGCATTGACTCACCCATGCAGGTGGCATTGTTGGGTATCATCACTCTTCCCTCCAAAGCTCTATACACGCACAGCTCTCAAGGTGCCTAGCCTAACCCTAGTTCCAGTCTACTGTCTGCTCTGTTTCCTATCCACTGCCATGTAAACAAGCAGCCACCACCTCCCACTGCCATAGACAGAGACAGATCCATTCGGCCTTGCCACCCCACCATGATGTACTAAAAATCTCTTTGACACCATGAGCTCTCAAAGACAGAAATAATAAATAAATAAATAAATAAATAAATAAATAAAGCTTTCTTTCCTTAAGTCGTCTCCATCAGGTATTCTGTCACAGCGGTGAGAAAAGCAACTGACAGAATCCCCATTACATCACCAAATGAGGACTCCATCAGCACACCAGTGCTGAAAGCAGAGGCCTCATGGCCAATCACTTCCCCAAACCCTCCCTCGGAACATCACATGTGGGAACAAGCCCTTAGCGCATGAGCCTTGTTGGGGGACACTTCACACCGAAGCCATAACTGTTCTGACTAGAAAGTCATAGAAGTCAGACTTACCAGTGTGCCATAGAGCTGCTGACAGAACAGCAGATGGCCCACAGACAGACACGTATCTGTGAAGGTACAGGCTCCAGTTTGTTTTTAAGTAGGACACATGATCAAGGCCCACTGCACGGGCTGGCAGGATGGCTCAGCAGCTAAAAGCATGTCTGCCAATACTGATGACCAGGTTCCGTCCCTCTCCCAGAGTGTCCTCTGACTTTGACACACACACATGCACAGCCAGGGCACAGCTGACTTCCTGCCCTCTTCCTTACCTTGCCACTAAGGGGATTTTTCTCAGATCGGATCACGTTGCCCACCATGTCACAGAAGTCCACGCCATTGGGAAGCTTGTTGGGCCTAGTTTCGTCAAACTGGGGATGCTGGTGCAGTTCTGCCAGCAGATTCTTATCTGCTGTTTTCTGAAGAAAAACAAAAAGCACACTATGAAAATGGGGTCCATCATCTTGACAGTTTAAAACAATAACATGCCTTCCCCTTCGACACACAGACAGTGCGACAGACTCATAGACAGGGAGCAAACCAGGGCTTCCCAACCCTAGCACCGCTCCCCAACATCTGCTCACATCAGCTGTTTTCCATAAAGGCTCTGAGCAAAGATTTCCAAATACATTTGCTATTTTAATCCTCCCCCTCACCTGTCTCTCCAGCACATACACACGTTTACCTTCTACTTTAGTCATCTAACCTTATTCTAGATTACTCCAGGGTCTGTGTGCGTGTGTGTGCGTGTGTGTGCGTGTGTGTGTGTGTGTGTGTGTGTGTGTGTGTGTGCGCGCGTGTGCGCGCGCGCGTGTGTGTGCGTGTGCGCGCGTGTGTGTGTGTGTACTGTTCTCAAAATTTCCATTCAAACCAGGAGGTGGTGGCGCACGCCTTTAATCCCAGCACTCGGGAGGCAGAGCCAGGCGGATCTCTGTGAGTTCGAGGCCAGCCTGGACTACCGAGTGAGTTCCAGGAAAGGCGCAAAGCTACACAGAGAAACCCTGTCTCGAAAAACCAAAAAACAAACAAAAACCCCCAAAAACCATTTAAACTGCTACAGTTTAATTGACTTCTCCCTGATTACTTTCAATATTACTGTCATTAATATCTTAGAGCACATACCTTCCCCTTCGGGTCATTTATTTAGCATGATTTTTGAGACAGAGTTTCTCTGTGTAGCCTTGGCTGTCCTGGAACTCATTCTGCAGACCAGGCTGGCCTCAAACTCAGAAAACCTGCTTGCCTCTCCCTCCCAAGTGCTGGGATTAAAGGCATGTGCCACCACTACCCCGCTAGCATGATTTTCTTAAAACAGTAATATTTTATCAAAGGATGTAACTGTCTCAATATATCTCATTACTGAGTATGTATCATTAAATTAATTTTTATAACCAAACTCAAACATGACAGCTGGTAAAATAATAATAATAATAATACAGGAAAATGCAGGAGAGTGGAGTGTGGGGTCCAATTACCATCACCCTACTGCACCTACTGTGAAGGGCTAGTTGTTCACTTTCTATGACCTGGCTATGGGAGGGGACCGTGAGAGAGCAGCTTGCTGAATGACTGCTGATCCTGAATCAGAGGTCACTCTGCCATTTACTCCATGTGCCACCTCAGGCAGGACATCTGTACCCACCCAGACCCCATCAATGGCATGCTAGGCAATTTCACTACAGAGTCCAGCACCAGGCTTCATGCTGTTTTGGAATTTACGAAGTTCAAAGTTATAAAAAAAGTAATGGAAACAGAAGCAATCGAGATGGGTCAGTGAGTAAAGATGCCAGCTGCCAAGTCTGACGACCCGAGTTCAAGCCCTGGGACTCACAGGTAGAAGAGAGAATTGACTTCTGCATGTCGTCCTTAGGCCTCTGCATGTATGCCATGGCATGTGCACCCCCTCCCCCCGACACACAAAATAAATATAGTAAAATTTTTTCAGAAAAGATAATGTTTCCTAAGGCTTTGGGTACAAGTGATCTGTATAGTTTAAATAACCAGCTTTTGGGGGTTCCTTTTGCAATAAAAAAAAAATTTGCAATGCTGGAGACAGAACCCGGGGGCTTTGTGCATGCTAGACAAGCACCCTACCCCTGAGCCACAAGCCCAGCCTGTGGAAATGAACCTTGACAAGGACAGCTGTAGATGGGACTTGCTGGCAATAGAGGGGGGCTGGCCCTGGGTTGGAGAACTGAGAGCAAAGCCATGCCTTTCCTCTGACACGCTGCATGACCCGGGACCGTCATCTCAGCTTCCTGGCATGTCTGCAGTGATCACCAGCACCAGCCTGGCTGGTGAGTAGAGTGGAGACATGGGAACCTCCTGTGTAGAGGACACACGGAGTTGTGCGGCACCATCACAGCAAAGCTGGAGGACCCTTTTTCTAAGCGGAGATGCCTCAGATCTCACAGTAACAGACACAGGAATCTGCAACACTCTTGTTGCCAAGGCTGGGTTGGGTTCTGCCCTTTCAAGAGTGACGTGAGCAATTTTAAAGTTAAAGTATCACCAGATCTTTGAAAAAGCGAACCCTGCACTTTCTCTATGAATCACTGTCTAGGCACCAAATCTTCCTGCCTGAGGAATAAAACCCGTTTTGTGCATAACAGAAACCACTGGGAAGCAACAGCGCGGCCTCTTACCCTTTTGGACAGGATCAACTTGGCATTCCGGAGCTCTGAGCCTTTGCAGGTTATCGGCAGCTCTTCCTTTGGTTGCTTGACTAAGAAGGGAGGAGAAGGTCAGACATGAGGGGTGGTGGTTGCACCTGCTACTGAGAGCTAAGACTCTTGGGGAGGGCTGCCTGGTGACCAGCAGACGGCCAGGTCCTGGCCTATCTGTCTAGAAGCCGCAGGGAAGACAGGACACTGTGCTAGGCAAGTTCCTCTTCCTAGCAGGACTCTCCTGGGTCAGATACACCCGATGGCGCCACCAGGTGGGATTTATGAAGGGACGGGGATCGAAGCACCTGGCATGATGTGCCACCTAGCAGACAGCCAGTCCCACGTGATCCCATCCCTCCCTCCTTCCTTGGCCAATGTCCAGTTTGATGGAAGGCTACTACAGAAGAGGACAAAAAAGTATCCTCAGGTAGAACTCTGGATTCCTACTCAATTGCATTTCAAAGATTAAAAAACAAAAACAAAAACAAAAACTGGGGTCCACTTCAGTGGCAGAGCGTGTGCTTAGCATGTACAGGCTCTGGGATCCATGCCTAGCACCACAAAACAAAAACACTAAAAAGAAACTAAACTTTAAAAAAAAATCAAAAATCAAACCCCACAAAAACACTTTTCAGGCTGAGAAAGGATTTTTTGCCTTTGTCTCCCGGGCTGCCGTGAGTTTTCTCTTTTAAAGACTTCTTCTCCAACTCATATTCCTCAATTGCCTTCAAAAACCAGAAGAAGAAGAAAAAAAGGGGGGGGAGGGCATTAGAGACTGATGTAAGGCCAGGGAAGAGGACAGGGGTCAGGGATGGGAGTTTTCCCTTACTGGCATCCAAAAGCCTGAAAGAGGAGCCAAGTACCTCTTCTCCTCCCCCTGGGTGATAGGGACCTTGGCCATCGGTGCCACCAACAGGGTGCCATTGTACCCTTGCATTACGCTGCTCTCCTGGCTCCACTTCTGAGGAGCACAGGATGCAGACAGGGCTCTGACTGTAACCCACAGGTACACATGTGCAATCTTTCTATAAGAAGGTAATAATAATACCTACCTTCCATGGTCCCTCGAAGGACCTGGAGAAAATATTCAGTGTGTTTTCACAACAGCACAGAGCTGTCGAACAGGTGCTTACTAGGGGCTAACATTGTTATCAATCAGTATACCCTGGACCTCTCACCAGAGCCCACTGTATCTCTGATGCTCCCCACCCTCACCTTAGAAAAAGAATGATAAGTGAATGTTAGTGGCCCTCAAGATGCACGAATGGTCTGTGAGGGGCTAGCTGTGCTTGGGGAGAGTTGTCTGTGGGAGTGCTGGCTGTGTCACCCGGCAGGACAGGTTCTGGGATGGTAGAAGTGACCTCACAGTCAAGTCGGGTACATAAAGGTAACAGTAGACAGATCTACGCAGACTTCCTTCATGTGCACTCAGACATACACGGTCCCTGCTGTCACCAGGTGTCCCTCTAAGCCCCAACTAGGTCGGGCATGTGTTACAACTCATCTGATCCCTGTGAACGCCCTCAGGTAGGTGGATATAGTGTCAGGCCTTTTACCGGATGTTGAGGGTCATTTTCCTCCAGTCAGAATTCAAGAGAACTGTCTGGCAGGAATTTTAGACCAGCAGTCTGCCTGGAAAGGTCACACACCTAGTGTTCCCTCCTCACATGAATACGTCCATGCACAGAATCATTCCAGGGAGAGTTGTCCATGTTCTCCACTGCTATTCACAATTGAATTCCAATCCCAGCTCAGACGTGGGCCGGGAACTGACGCTAGTGGTCCTCTCCTCATTCATAAAGAATGGCTTCGCTTGTATGAAAAGAAAATCGGGGCCGGCAAGATGGCTCAGCATATAAAGGTGCCTTTCACAGAGCCTTATGATGACCTTAGTTTGGTTCCTGGAACCCACATGAGGGAAGGAGAGAACTGACTCCCACAAGCTGTCCCCTGACCTCACATGTGTGCCATGGCAAGCACGCATGTTCGTTCTCTCTCTCTCTCTCTTTCTCTCTCTCTCTCATTTAATTTTTTAAAAGGAATTTGACTATATTTATTCCACTGAAAACTTTTACTTCTAGGGCTGTATTCTGCAGACATATGCAAATGAGCCCTGTGGTGATTCTTTTTTTTTTTTTTTTTTTTTTGTCAACTTGACACAAACTAGAGCCATCTGGGAAGAGGGAACCTCCATCAGATTGGCCTGTGGGTATATGTGTGGAATATTTTCCTGACTAATGGTTGATGCTGGCAGTGACACCCCCGGGCAGGTGGTTCTGGGTTGTATGAGAAAGCAAACCGAGGGGCTGGAGAAATGGCTCAGTGCGTTAGAGAACTTGTTGCTCTTTCGGAGGACCCAGGTTCAATTCCCAGCAACTACATGGAGGCTCACAACCATCCATAAGTCCAGTTCCAGGGGATCCAATGTCTTTTCTGGCCTCTGATGGCACCAGGCACACATGGTACACTTACATACATGCAGGCAAACAGTCATACATATAAAATAAAATAAATCTAAGTATGGTGATATTTTATTTGTATTAAAATGTTATTTGTAGGTTAATAAATAAAGTTGCCTGGGGGTCAGAGCTATTAACAAGCCATAGGAAAGCAGGGCAGTGGTGGTGTACTCTTGTAATCTTAGCACTTGGTAGGCAGAGCTGGGTCAGTCTCTGTGTGTTCAGGGATACAGCCATTATTGGATACACATGCCTTTAATCAATACCAATTATGGAAAACATGGAGGCCTATACAGACAGGCCGTGAGGAGGCAGTCATGTGGTTGGGTTTACAACCAATGAGAAGGCAGAACAGGAACTCTATATAAAGACTTTAACACAGGGGTAGCTCTGGTTCGGAGAGGTAGGACCACCGCAGGAGGAAGGGTAAGGTTTTAGCTCTTAGCTCTGACCTCTTGGCTTTCTTCTTTGCATTGGTTCTGTGTTTCTTATTTAATAAGAAGGTTGGTTACATCTACAAATGGCGTCCAACGTGGTGGCAAGAGTTTCCACCTAAAAACCTAAGAATAGATTCTAAAACGGAGCTAAAAACAGCTTCCTAACTGTCTCTCTCAAATGAGTGGCAGCTGCCGGTTTGAGCTACTTGTGGGTTTCTGGTGTGCGCGCTCGACCTGCAGTTTGGTGGGAATGAGGCCTCTGCAAGTGGCATATTAAGCTGCGTGGTGGATTTAGCCTTTGCAGGTACAAAACAAAAAAAGAGGTTTTTGGGCTACATGCTGCTTGGATAAAAGCATAGACCCACGATAGCTCCCAGAGCTGGTGGTAAACTTACCACTGCCATGTTGGGAAGCTGAGTTGGTTGGAGCCAGCAGCCACAGCTGCTGCAGTTTAAGTCAATAGATTCACAATAAGACAGATTCAGATGTAATAGTTTACAATGTGTGTAAAAATGTACGTAGGCTTGAAAGAGAAAGAAAAAGGAACATATACAGTTATATAAAGAAATAAATAGTTTTTAAAAATAAAGTCTTTAAAGAGACAGTAAAGGTAGTATAAAAAATAAGCCACGTAAAAATGAATATTACACAGAGAATCTGGATTGTGTTGTCTTTGGGATTTTTAACTGCAGAAAAACATTTGATTGTAAAAGCTGTTGAGTTATGCCAAAATATATATTTTAAAGGTACCTTGACTTCAAAATTTGGATATAAGGATATGTTGCTTTGGAAAAGAGTCTCTGCTTTTGTTCCCACAGAAAGCCAGAGGCTATGGATTTGTTCAAGATTAAGATACATCAGGTTTGACCAGCCAAGACCCCCTGAAAGGTTTCCAATGACACCATGGCCCAGATGACCCAATATCCAGAACGATTTGAAGGCAACTGGCTCAGACAATACACCCTCATGGACTATTCCATTATTCTAAAATTTTCTTTGTATCCCCATAAGATACAGCGCCCCCCTCCAGCAGGAAGTAGTAAGAGAAGCTATGCCCAAATTATATATAATTTTACTTTGTTAAGGTTAAAACCTTCCTTTTTGGAAAAAAAAATGGGGGAAGTGCTGTGGGATGTTCTGTATGGCAAATGTGTTGCTGATTAGTCAATAAATAAAACACTGATTGGCCATTGGCTAGGCAGGAAGTATAGGCGGGACAAGGAGGAGAATAAAGCTGGGAAGTGGAAGGCTGAGTCAGAGAGACACTGCCAGCCGCCACGATGAGAAACAGCATGTGAAGATGCTGGGAAGCCACGAGCCATGTGGCAAGGTATAGATTAATGGAAATGGATTAATTTAAGTTGTAAGAACAGTTAGCAAGAAGCCTGCCACGGCCATACAGTTTGTAACCAATATAAGTCTCTGTGTTTACTTGGTTGGGTCTGAGCGGCTGTGGGACTGGCAGGTGAGAGAGATTTGTCCTGACTGTGGGCCAGGCAGGAAAACTTTAGCAACATCTAAGGAAGGAAGCCAGGCAGCTGAGTGAGACATGAAAAGCAAGCCAGTAAGCAGCTCCAGTTCTTGCCTCCAGGTTCCTGCCTTGACTTCCCTCAGTGATAGACTGTAGGCCATAAGAGAAAACAGATCCTTTCTCCCCTTAGTTGCTTTTGGTAAGTGTTTTTTCACAGCAACAAGAAGCAAACTAGACCAAGGCCTAAAGCCCATGCCCAGAAACGTTCATATGTTCACTATGTTCAATGCCAAGGAAGGGCTGGAGAGAAGGCTCAGCAGTTAAGAGTCCTTCCAGAGGACCGAGTTTAGATCCCAGCACCTACACAGCAGCTCACAGCTGCCTGTAACTCCAGCTCCAGAGAGTCCAAAGTCCTCTTCTAGCCTCCTTGGGCACCTGCACATACATGGCACACACACATAAATAAAAATATTTATTTATATTATAAAGAGATGCCTCAGTGGTTAAGAGCATTGGCTGCTCTTCCAAAGGATCCAGGTTCAATTTCCAGCACCCACATGGCAGCTCACAACTGTCTATAACTCCAGTTCCAGAGGATCTGGCACACTCATACAGACAATATGCAGGCAAAACATCAACGCACATAAACTAACTAAATAAATAATTTAAAATACCATTGAGATACTTATTATTAGAAAATAAATTGGTTATGCTATATCCAATTTTTGGAATACTATGAAGCCAATAGCACTGACTAAAAAAAGTCCCCAAGAAGGTATTTATTCTAAAAATAAATAAATCAATGAATAAATCAGTAAAAACAGAAGCAGGCTGTAAGAGAGTATTTACAGCATGATCCTGCTTATGTATATTTTTAACAGACAGAAAAAAATAATAACCCAAAGGAATGTAGTACCTGTGAAAATAATAACCTATAAAAGTTCTGGAAGAATCCATGGCATAGGAATAGCAATGGCTACCTCGAGGGAGGAAAGTTGTCGAGAAAAGAGTAGCTTTCACTTTTCACTTATAGACAGTCTGAATATTATGGAACAGCATATATTAATTGGCTAGTTAAAATTTTTAAAATATGAGCCAGGTGTGTTGATACACGCCTTTAATCCCAGCACTCGGGAGAAGCAGGTGGATCTCTGTGAGTTTGAGGCCAGCCTGATCTACACAGTTCCAGGACAGCCAGGGCTACACAGAGAAACCACGTCTTGAAAAAATAAAAGACAAACAAACAAAGAAAAAACCAAACCAAAAAAAAAAAAAAAGTGAAACGGGAAAAGACAACATGCGCGGGAATCCTGGGGAGCGCCTGGGACAACGGCCAGCAGAAGAGCCCCGCACTGACCAGCAAGCCATGGGTCTGTGTTTCTCCGTATGTTTGAGAATTATGGAAGGGCTTTAGATTTAAGCCGGGTGGTGGTGGCGCACGCCTTTAATCCCAGCACTCGGGAGGCAGAGCCAGGCGGATCTCTGTGAGTTCGAGGCCAGCCTGATCTACAAAGTGAGTTCCAGGAAAGGCACCAAAACTACACAGAGAAACCCTGTCTTGAAAAACCAAAAATAAAATAAATGGGGTTGGGGATTTAGCTCAGTGGTAGAGCATTTGCCTAGCAAGCGTAAGGCCCTGGGTTCGGTCCTCAGCTCTGGAAAAAAAATAAAGTCTTAAAAAAAAAAAGACTTAAAAGTAAAAATGAAACCAAATTAATCTTCAGACTTCTGGTTTCCAGGCCATCAGGTAAGGGACCCACAGTCACCACTCTGCCCTTGCAAGTCTGAACATGCTGAAACATCAAGAGCTTTTCTCAGAACTGTGGGAACTGCAGCTACAGAGCAGGTGGCTGCCCCAAACTGAAAAGGTGGGCAGAGACAGGGGATCAACTCACTGAAGCAGGATCCCAGAGGCAGCAACTTTGGGGTACCCCTGGAGACCCTACTCCATTACTGACGCGCTGCCGGGAGCTCAGGATGGGTGAACAGAGGTGGAAACTGCAGGAGTCACAAAAACCAACTGGAGACAGGCGATTGTCCCGAACGTAAAGGTAAAACTCTGAAACCATAGCGGGTAAAGTCTGAGCTCCCGAATGGTCCTGGGACGGACAACGACTTTCAACATGACACCAAAGGCCAAGGATGAAGTGAACAGTCATGAACATTTTTAACATCTGTTCTTCCAAAGACACTGTCAATCAACGAAACGACAAGCTGCAGATTGGGGTTAAATATTTGCAAAAGGCACATCCAACAAAGGATTTCTCCAAGTCAGGCAGGGGTGGCGCACGCCTTTGATCCCAGCACTCGGGAGACAGAGGCAGGTGGATCTCTGTGAGTTTGAGGCCAGCCTGGGCTACAGAGTGAGTTCCAGGAAAGGCTCCAAAGCTAAACAGGGAAACCCTGTCTCGGGAAGAAAAAAAAAAAAAAAGAAAGAAAAAAGAAGCAGCCTGGGCTGGAGAGATGGCTCAGTGGTTAAGAGCACTAGCTGCTCTTCCAGAAGACCCAGATTCAATTCCCAGCACCCATATGGCAGCTCACAACTGTCTGTAACTCCAGTTCCAGGGCATCTGACACCCTCACACCAATGCACATAAAATAAAGTTTAAAAAATATTTTTTAAAAAATTTAAAAAAGAAGAAGAAGAAGAAGCAGCCTGCTGGAGCTGGGGAGATGGCTAAGCAGTTAAGAGCACTTGCTGCTCTTTCAGAGGACCTGAGCTCAGTACCCATCCTCCACACTGGCTCAGAACCACCTGTAACCCCAGCTCCAGGGGATCCAATGCCCTCTCCTGGCCTCCAAAAGCACCCACGCACAGGTGGCATACAGACCACACACATACATTTTTTTTTAAGTTTGCTAATTTTTAAAGAGTGAACTTTGAAATCTCAGCTGTACAAACAGGCCTTGGGAGATGCGCGGCCCTCAGGGCGACGCCTTGATGACCCTCCCTAGGACCCTTTGTTCCTAAAGGCCTTTGCCTCGGCTCCGGCATCTGCTTTAACTCACCGAGGTGCTGGTCAACAGGCTGGAGTCCAGGTCTATTTCAGTAATCCTCTGGTTCACCTGGCTCATGGAGCCAACAATGCATGCTGGGAGGCAAGCTGCTAAGGAAACTCTCCAGGAGGCAGTCGCACGCAGCAGAAGGGTCTCTCGGCCAGGAGGGTGGTCCAGGCTGCACCATCTCTGGTTCATTCCCTCTGCCAATATTCATGACGTCATCTTGTTTAAGTGAGTGGCTTTTATAAATGAAAATCAATGGACTGGTATGAGCACTCATCTCTGTAATTCCAGCACTTTGAGGGCTGAGGCAGGAGGACTGCCTTGAGTTTGAGGCCAGCCTGCACTTCAAAGTGATCTCTGGGCTAACCTAGAGTGTGTATAGTCTGTCAAAAATAAAACCAAAAAGAGAAAAAAGCAAGCACGCAAACAAAGACAAGAAAAGGGAAGAGAAAGAGGAGGCAGAGGCGGAAAGTAAGTTTCCTGTGTTAGTCACCCTGGGAAATACTAATCAAGGAAAAGGCATCCACACTGCCTCAGCCTCTCCATTAGAGTCTTGGGGACGTTCCTTCTGGGTATTGTTTGTTTCAGTTTTTGACAGGGGAAGACAGGATGTCTATGTAGTGATCCTCCTGCCTCAGGTGTGTGCCCCTGTACCAGCTTGCCTTCTAGTGTTTTGGGCAAGCAGAACTACAATGTCAGTGGGTGCCTGGTTCACCTCCACAACTTCCCTTCCAAAAGAACTCGCCTGATGGCCAGATAATGTTTACAATATTGTTTTAGTTACACCACATGAGCCACTTAGAACACATACCTTAGTGCTGGGCTGTGGCTCTGTAACCCACTTACAGCCTCTCACGACGGTAAAAAATGCTGTGGTGAGTGAGCATGGCCACGGGGAAGTTTCACATTTTGGAATATTTCTTTTCTTTTTCTTTTTTTAAAAAAAAAAGATGTTTGGGGGTTGGGGATTTAGCTCAGTGGTAGAGCGCTTGCCTAGCAAGCACAAGGCCCTGGGTTCAGGTCTCAGCTGGGGGTGGGGAGGTTTGGGGAGGTGGAGGGGGGGGGTTGTTGGGCGGTGGTGGCACAGGCCTTTAATCCCAGCATTTGGGAGGTAGAGCCAGGTGGATCTCTGTGAGTTCGAGGCCAGCCTGGGCTACAGAGCAAGTTCCAGGACAGGCACCAAAACTACACAGAGAAACCCTGTCTCAAAAAAAAAAAAAAAAAAAAAAAAAAAGATGTTTTAATTTTGTACATATATGTTTGTGAGTGATGTATGTGCAGCATGTGCATGCCAGTGCCTGCGGATCCCCTGGGGTTACAGATACAGGTGGCTGTGAACAGCTTGAGGTGGGCGCTGGTAACTGAATTGAAATATCAAGCACTTTTGACGGTGGGGGCATCTCTCCAGCCCCTGGGATATTTCTTTAAGAGAGATTTCCAGGTGTGGGACGACGGGGCCACAGGGCACCTGCTGTCATCAGCTCTCAGTGGAACCCCTCTTTGAATCTGATCAGTTCTACCCTCGCTGTTACCTTTTCACCTTTACATTTCACGTCTTAGCCTCAGGGTCTCCCAGGACCCGGCCTCTGTAAGCCTCATAATCCTGCCGCTCCACTCCTTCTCCATAAAGCAGGCTCATTCTCCCTTCCATTACCCTCAAGTGTTCTTCCCGTGGGGAAGGCACTTGGAAAGCCAAGACACCAAGAGGGACATGTGACGCAGACAGGGCCAAGTTGAGTGTGGGATTAAGAAGGGCATTAGAAAGAGACCCAAGAAGGTAAGACTCGAGAGAGTCAGATAGGCTCACTCTAGCTGCTCTCCTGGGAAGGGATTGGGAGAGGAATGTGGAAAGGGAGAGGCGGAGTGGAAGACGCAGTTTGCCTGGTGGGAGCAAGGCTTAAAGCCTGGGGTTATTTATAACTTGAGAGGCCTGTTTGCTGGATGGACTGAGACGGGATTTTGTGATGCAGGGATACGGTTCAGGGGAGAGATGAGGTTCAGTGAAGGTGGGACCAGGGAGAGGGCAGGGGTAGGTAGAGCCTGGGGGATGCCAGAGGGGCAGGGCAGACTGAGCCTGAGTAGGAGGGCTAGCAGGTGAGGAGAGGGGAGGTCAACCAGAGGAAATGAAGAATCTGGGTGGTGAGCTCACCTCTCTGGGGACAGAGGGCTAGCTCCTGACTTCCTAGTTGCTGTTGATTATGTTCACAGCCCTAATTCTTTTTTTTTATACTATATTAACATCACTAATTTTTTTTAAAGATTTATTTATTTATTATGTATACAGTGTTCTGCCTACATGCATGCTTGCAGGCCAGAAGAGGGCGCCAAATCTCATTTCAGATGGTTATGAGCCACCATGTGGTTGCTGGGAATTGAACTCCGGACCTCTGGAAGAACAGCCAGTGCTCTTAACCTCTGAGCCATCTCTCCAGCCCCCCACAGCCCTAATTCTTAAAAAGGCAGAAGTAAGGGGAGCCAATCAGAAACTTTTTCCCTCTCTCAACAGATACAACCTGGGCAACTGTCTTTGGAGTTCCTTCTGCTTAAAAAATAAACCTCAGCCAGGAGGTGGTGGCACACACCTTTAATCCCAGCACTTGGGAGGCAGAGGCAGGAGGATCTATCTAAGTTCAAGGCCAGCCTGGTCTACAAAGTGAGTTCCAGGACAGCCACGGCTATTACACAGAGAAACCCTGTCTCGAAAAACCAAATATATATATATATATATATATATAAAACCTCAAGTTGAACAACCCTTCAAAACATCACATTCCTTTAGAGGTGACACAGGACTTAAGTACTCAGAGAAAATGACCATGGTACGTAGCGTGGGCTAACAGGTAACATATATGAACCTAGGCACTCATCACAGCAGTGGTAAGGCTCAGTTAGATGTACGTGGTCTGACTGTGGGTGACAACATTGAAGGATACTGGGTGGATTGTCTTGCAACTGCTTCCTCAAAGCCTTCTCCAGTACTTTCCGTGAATTGGCAGAGACCACCAGGCGCTCGTCCAATGGGATCATTGGCAAGGCGGTGATATTGATGATGTCCATTCTCTTGACAAAGTCCATTTTCCAGTTTTTTGTGAACTGGCAGACAAAAAGTTTCCTCTTTTCTCCCACTCCAACCTTGTTCTTTATTCAGTCAGCCTGCTGGGATAAAAGATGGCATAAACCATCTTAGAAAACGAAAGCAGAAAGACCCACACAACAGCCTGCTGAGCAGGGATGCTAAGGCGCCTAACACACAAGTATGCAGGAAGAAAGGTTTTTGTTCGGGAAGTCCTTTTTTTTTTCCAAACTGATGCAAAACATCTATTCAAAGTTGTCCCTTTTATGCAGTTGTCTTCCCCCCAGTAGCCTTGCTATAACCATATCCTTTACATCTGCATCATGTCATCAAAGTAATCTTCACCCTTGAGATTGCCATTTTTTAAACATATGCATAAGTGATGCACGTGTAGAATGACACTGGAGAGCTCTTCTGTCACTTGCCACCCGATTTTTAGAGGCAGGATCTTCTATTCAATCCGAAGCTCACCTTTCAGCTAATCTGACTGGCCGAAGAGCTCCTGGGTTCCACTGTCTCTGCCCCCAAATGCTAGGGGACAGGCACTGGAGGCTATGTATGGCTTTTTTATTTTATTTTATTTTTTGACACACAGCCACCACTGCGTGGCCCATGTATAGCCCTTTTTTTTTTTTTTATTTAAAGGATCTACTTTATTTTCTAAAAATGAGTATTTTCTTGCATGCATGTCTGTGTAGCAATTGAGTGCCTGGTCCCTGTGGAGGCATCAGGAACAGGAACCCTTGGAACTGGAGTTACAGGTGGTTGTGAACCACCATGTGAAAGATGTAGTTTCTATGGTGGCAGCATAGCTTAAAAATATAACATGGCGGGGCTGGAGAGATGGTGCAGCAGTTGACTGCTCTTCCAAAGGACCCAGGTTCAATTCCCAGCACCCACATGGCAGCTCACAACTGTCTGTAACTCCAGTTCAGGGGATCTGACACTCTCACACAGACACATATGCAGGCAAAACACCAACGTATATAAAATAAAAATAAATAAATCAGCCGGGTGATGGTGACACACGCCTTTAATCCCAGCACTCGGGAGGCAGAAGCAGGCAGATCTCTGTGAGTTCCAGGCCAGCCTGGTCTACAAAGCGAGTTCCAGGCAAGGCACAAAGCTACACAGAGAAGCCCTGTCTCGAAAAACAAAAACAAAAATAAATAAATCACTTAAAAAGTTAAAACTGTATATAACATGGAAAGCCTGGGGTTATTTATAACCTATGAGAGGGTTATTTGTTGGATGGGATCTGAGATCCTCAGAGACAGGGTTGTGATGCAGGGATACAGTTCAGCAACAAGATGAGAACCTGTCTACCTGAAGACAGGACCAGGTAGAGCCTGGGGCATGCCAGAAGGGCAGACTGAGTCTGCGCAGGAGGGCTAGCCAGTGAGGTGAAGTCCTCTGCAAGAACGGTGATCGCTCTTATCCACCCAGTCATGTACCCAGTCCACCAAATTCATATTTTACAATCCACCCTGAATATCAAGACTGCAAGAATAGCACATTTCCTATATACAAGTATCTTACAGCTGTACCTAAAAAAGTAAAGAAAAAAAACCACATATACTTGATTAGGAGCTAAGATACCAGAACAATGCAAAATCAAACAAAATATCCCAATTTGACAGCATTAATTTAACACAATGATGCTTCAGCAGTCACTCTGCCACTGAAAACAAGTGTATGAGCACAGTTCCGAGTCTCCAATGGCTGAGAGTAGAAACTGCTAAGCAGACACACCAGTGTCTCCTTCCCTCTGTACCCCCACACCGCCAGTTCCCACCAAAGACTGCTCCACATGGTCAGGTGTGGTGGTGAACCCCTTTAACCCCAGCACGAGGGAGGCAGAGGCGGGTGGATCTTTGAGTTCAAGGCCAGTCTGGGCTATAGTAAGTAAGTTCCAGGACCACCAGGGATGCACAGAGAAACCCTGTCTTTAAAAGGGGGCGGGGGGGGGGGGGGGGGGTGAGGGGGATGGCTCAGAGGCATAGGACACTTGCTGCCAAGTCTGATGACCAGAGTTTGATTCCCGACAACCTTGACTCCCAAATGGTGGAAACAAAGAACTCATTCCCTCACCCCCTGACATACATGCTGTGGAACACTCACTTCCTCCATTCCAATAGATAAATAAACAAATAAATGTAATGCATTTAAGGGAAAAGAATGTGTATGTAGCTGGGCCAGCGGCATGCTGTGCAAGCCAGTATAAAGAAGGCCTATTCCACATGCTCACTTAGTCACACCTCGACTACTCAGCCTCCACTGCCCAGTTCCCAAACCATTTCCAAAAGGGGAAGGGGGAGGGGGAGGGGAAAGGAGACAGTAAAAAGGGGAGGGAGGTGTAAAAATCAACAGCTGTGGTGGCCACATCATTACCTTCCCTGAGCAGTGGCAGTATGGTGTTGCCTAAATTGATGAATCCTATTTGTAAAGTCCTAGCTGGGGAGGACGGGTGGCCACAGGCTTGAACAAGGAACGCCATCAAGGTAATGGATGTAAAACAGGTAGTATCAAAGAACTACAAAAAAGTCTTCCAAGCAGTCAACTGCAGTAGCAAAATATCTGCAAGACAAAGCCCTTAAAACACAAATATTATTTTTAAACAATTGTCCAAGCCACCGGGCATGGGCTGGCAATAACTCAGTAGGAAAAGGTGACCTGCACTTGATTCCTGGGATTCACATGGTACACGGAGAGACCTGACTCTCACAGTTGTCCTTGGCCTTGATATGTGCACTGTGGCACACACACACCCAAACACAATGAGTAAAGAAATCTAATTTAAAATAAAAAATAAAAAACGAACCAACAGCAGAGGGCTGGGAAAACGGCTCAGGGCTTGCTGCTCTTGTCGAGAACCTGCCTTTGTGTCTGGCCACCGAGGTTGGACGGCTCACACCCATGATTTGATGCCCTCTTCCAGCCTCTTCTCAATCTGCATGTGGGCATGTGCCCACACATACATAAAAATAAAATCAGTCTTTAAGACAACTAAGCATGGGGCTGGAGAGATGGTTCACAGGTTAAGAGCACTGGCTGTTCCTCTAGAGGTTCTGAGTTCAATTCCCAGCAACCACATAGTGGCTCACAACCATCTGTAAAGAGATCTGGTGCCCTCTTCTGGCCTGCAGGCACACATGCTGTATACATAATAAATAAATAAATAAATCTTTTTTTTAAAAAAAAAATCAATCTTTAAGACAACTAAGCATGGGGCTGGAGAGATGGTTCACAGGTTAAGAGCACTGGCTGTTCCTCCAGAGGTCCCGAGTTCAATTCCTACCAACTACATGGTAGCGCACAACCATCTGTAATTCAATCTGGTGCCCTCTTCTGGCATGTAGGCAGGACACTGTATACATAATAAATAAATAAATCTTTGGAAAAAAAAAATCTCGGGGCTGGAAAAATGGCTCAGTGGTTAAGAGCACTGGCTGCTCTCCCAAAGGACCTGGGTTCAACTCCCAGCACCCACATGGCGGCTCACAACTGTCTGTAACTCCAGTTCCAGGAATCTGACACCCTCATACAGACAAATGTGCAGGCAGAATACCAATGTACACAAATAAAAATAAGTAATTTTTTTTGTTTTGTTTTGTTTTTGTTTTTCCGAGACAGGGTTTCTCTGTGTAGTTTTGGCGCCTTTCCTGGATCTCGCTCTGTAGACCAGGTTGGCCTCGAACTCACAGAGATTCACCTGGCTCTGCCTCCCGAGTGCTGGGATTAAAGGCATGCGCCACCACTGCCCGGCTAATAAGTAATTTTTTTAAAAGGTCACATAGGACTAAAGTTCTCATGAGTTCAAGCTGTGTAGAATCCCAAGGATGAACCGCAAATGGCCAAAACATGTTTTTCCATGGAGGCATTTACTTGAATAACACCAGCAAGCAATAATGAGGAATCTGAAATAAACTATCCACTACACCCGGGAGGAGCACGAAAAAGCGTTCCAAGAACTGTTCTGTGTTTGGAAGAAACTGAAGTCACAAGACTCATCTTGTTTTCTTGGAGTGTTCTCTCAAGCTTTCAGAAGTCTCCTCACCCGATTTCACTTCTGGACCATATTCAAACACAAGTGCACGCCACCAAGACTGACTTTATTTCCATGGATTTGGGGGTTCCAGACTCAGGTCCTCATGATTGCACAGTAAGCACTCTGCCCACTAGGCTGACTCCCCAGCCACCCTACCTCCACGGCAGGTGTGTAGCCTAGAGCTTCAGACACGCTAAGCAAGCTCCCTACCACTGGGCTCCAGCCTCAGTCCTGTACTCTCTTTCGAGACAGGATTTCTCTGTGTGGCTCTGGCTATCCTGAAATTTGCTGTAGACCAGGCTGGCCTCGAACTCACAGAGACCTGCCTGCCTCTGCCTCCCAAGTGCTGGGATTAAAGGCGTGCGCCACCACCGCCCGGCTGAACATGGAGTTTTTAAAGGCAGAATCCTGGCATCTCGTCCAGCAGCTGCAGGGGGCTTTTCAGAAGTAAGCAATTTTAATAGAAGCTATGGTAAGCAGTTAGCTGGAGGGAGTTCCGTACAGGCAGACAATTTAACAGAAGCTAAATTAGCTAGGACATCTCAACCTTGGGTTCCAAGAACAGGGCTGGGTAATTTTCCACTAGATTCTCTATCAAGGAGATCAAATTCTAGTTAAACCTGAAATGGCTTCAGCAAGAACCACGAGATGGAGGAACCTTTGCACTGTCTCGCCCTGTTACATATGACCCCATGACTGCACCACTCCTTGTTCCTAGCTTTAGGATGCTCTGGCCTGTCTCCTGGGTCCAGCCCTCTACCATCTATCTCCCTCCATATCCAGAGACCTGGTGATAATGAAGCCAGAGTCTTAGATCTTGTCCTTAAGCAGCTTCTACAGAATGAAGGGAGGGAGCTAAGGTCATGGAGAAACTAACTAACCTGAGTCTCCTTTACCACATTCCTTCCTGCGCCCTGTTCCCCCAATTCAGTCTTCCTCTCCACTCTTCTCCCCAGCCATGCATCCCAGAGGCCTGTCCTGTGGACCTCTCCCTCATTCCCTATCATGCTACAGATATATCTTTATTAGTGGGGGGCAGGGATACACATGCCAATGGTGCACGTGTGGAGCTCGGAAGACAACCTCATGGAGTCAGTTTCCCCTTCCACCTGGGCTCCAGCGGTAGCATTCAGGTCGTCAGGCTTGTGTGATGAGCACTGTACCTGCTGAACCAGGTCATGCCATGCTCTTGATGCCCCTATCTATGTCTCTGCCCATGAGGTCCCATCTATGGACTTGTCCCCGGGTGTCACATCATCTTTAGAAAGAGCTGGAATTATGCCAGGCCACCAGAACCATGACTCTTTTATGTATCTTACTTTCATCTGTCACAGCACTTAATATATAAAATTGGTAGCTGGCTATGGTGGCACTTGCTAAAAATCCCAGCGAGGTGGGGGATGGGACTCAGGCAGGAGGAGGATCAAGAGTTCAAGGCCAGCTTTGGCTACCTCGACAAACTTGGTCTCAAAAAAGAAAACCTGAGCTGGAACGACTTCCTTCTGACTTTTTCTAGTCTATTCTAGTCGAAGAATAACTCCCAGGGACAATCACGAGCATTGGAGTAATCACTCAATATTTGGTTTCTTTGGAAGAAGCTGTCTATCACAGACTGCTCTGTGGGAGGCATGGAGGTCCTTGTGCTCACAGATCAGCACTAGGGGAAACCAGGAAGGTTAAACACACAGGGCTGCTGGGCAGCGGTGGCACACTCCTTTAATCCCAGCACTCAAGCGGCAGAGGGAGGTGGATCTCTGTGAGTTCGAGACCAGCCTGGTCTACAGAGCGAGATCCAGGACAGGCACCAAAAACTACACAGAGAAACCCTGTCTGGGAAAACCAAAAAACAAACAAACAAACAAAACAAAACAGGGCTGTCTCTTCAAAGGGAGAGATGTACAACCCGTTTTCCTACCCAGAAGGCACTGACACAGTTAACAGCCTGGTGACCTCTGCTGGTGACTATCTGTGTGGCCAGGCCACATTGATCCATTGATCCGCAGACCCTTATCTTGAGCTAGTCCGTCTCAGTCAATCTACAGTGCTGTCCTCCTCCAAACCCTTATTACGCTTGTTTATCTTGAATTTTTTCTCCGTTTTCTTTAGAACCCATCTTTCTGGAAGATGGCACTTTAACTTTACAAAGAGTTTTGATGCAGTCCCAGCTTATGCTTTGTTACCCACATGGGATTGAGTTAATTATCACCAGGAAACTTCTTTTTACTAATTGCGCTTAAACATGCCTAAAATAAACTACTCAGGGTCAGACTCTCAAAGTTTGAATCAACACCAGCTACTGAGTCCTGCTGAACGGAACTACCTTCTTATCTCCCTTCAATCATGACTCCGCTGGCCTGGTGGCTGCAGGGATCCCTCCATATCACCCCATCCCCCTGCCCAAGCCCACTGGATGGAAGGAAAAACTGACCCAGGCCCAGGTTGGTACTGTCTCTTGCCCTCTGCTCCTAGTCTTTAGCCTCACAGGCCAAACAGGGAGAGGTAAGAGGAGGCAGGTGCATTTTAAGGCTTCTCATTGTCCTCCTACCCATTCCCCAGAATGGCTGGAAAATTACACTATGTTCTCTGAGAAGCTGGGCTCAGATGACTCTGTCGGAAGCTTCCAGCTTTAGCCTAACACTATTACTCATGCCTAATGTGAGAACTGAGTAGCATGTTTCTAAAGAGGAATGTTTAAAATACACACACTGCTCCAAGATGAATTCTTCCTCACACCATTTAAGGATACGTGTGCTCAGGAGCACAGTCAGTTCTTACCGTCGTTGCTTGAAGAGGAGTAGGGGGAGCCAGCTTCATTGAAAGCTGCTCTATGCCAAGCTCGGTGCCAGGTGCTGGGGGTGGACGAGTGGGAGGTGAGGAACCTTTCCCCTCGGGGCATTCTGGCAGCTGGGATTTGAATACCTTCACTTAAAGTTAACATTTGATAGTGTGTAAAAATGCAGACTGTGGAGTCAGACTTGGGTTCCCTGTCAACTTTCAGCCACTCAATGACTATTTACTAAGGACTTCCCACAGATCAGCGAGTGTGCTCCAACTGGGCCTAAGATGGTGAGCTAAGCCAGACTGGACCCATGAACCCCTAGTGGGGCTGACGACTGGGGTAGACTTGCAAAATTAAAATAAGTGCAAAACTATACATTTATAAAAGTTACGCATGTAACGAATTAAAACTCACTCCTGCTTCCCACGGAGGCTCACAGGGCGGACATGAGATGACATGGTGTGGTTTGTTCAGTCTATTTTGAGACAGGGTCTCACTGTGTAGCCCTGGCTGGCCTGGCACTTCCTCTGTAGACCGGGCTGGCCTCGAACGGGCACAGATCCACCTGCCTCTACCTCTCAGGTGCTGCGACAGTTACAGAGGTGAAGGCGCTGAAGGAAGGGCAGGAGGTGACTGGATAAAGTGGGGAGGAGAAGGTAACAAGGCTGGAGGGAGGCTCCATGGACGCTGCCCATCCATCCCAGCAGCCACTAGCCACACACGAAACAAAAGGTCTGAAATTTAGTCAGTAAGACTGAAGAAGGTCCATTTTACTTTAAAATTAAAAACCAAAGCAAGGTAAATTTTAAAATATTTATGTTTAAGGATATTTTGGACAAACCGAGTTAAATGAAACAGTAGTCGAGTTAATTTAATCTGTTTCGATTTTACTTTTAACAGCGTAGGGTCAGGTGCGGTAGCACTGGCCTTCAATTGCAGCACTCTGGAGACAGAGGCAGGGGGATTTCTGTGAGTTGGAGACCAGTCAGAACCACATGGTGAGCCCCAATCTCAAAACCCAAATCTAAAAAACAAAACGACAACAACAAAAAAAAAAAAAAAAAGGAAAAAAGTGTAGGGGATGAAACCAGGCTTGGTGTATGTCTGTAATCCCAGCACTGAGAGGCTGAGGCAGGATGAGTTGAGAACCCCAGGGCAGTCTGAGCTACCCAGTGAGACCGTATCTTAAAAACAAAAACAAAAACAACAAAAAACCCCAAAGGTGCTTTGGGTATAGCTCATCAGGAAAGCATGGGATCAGCGTGCACCAGGATCACTCAGGGTTCAACATCAAAAAGCTGCTAGAATGATCGCCAAGTTACAAAGGTGGTCTGCTTTATGTTTCTGTTGGACCAGTGAGTGCTAGGCTAGATATGGTTAATTTTGAACGTAAATTTTCACTCTCTTGAAATGCAGTGTGGCAAAGGTGGAGGAAAACTGCTTGGAGACAGACCGCTTGGATCTGTCCCTTACGGCTGAGATGACACCTAATGTACCCACTAGGCCGCCAGGAAACATCTCCTGGATGGCCTATTTCTTCATTTACCAAACAGAGCACAATACACGCCGTTAGGACTTGAGGAATTTTGGAGGGGATTCTCCAGTCCTCCGCCCCCTTGTTCACTGGGCGACCTTCCTGGACCTCAGTTTCCCTTGCTCGTGGGCATGAGAAGGAGGCAGGCCTGGCAGGAGCCAGTTTGCTGCTTGGCAAGGAGTCGTCCTCCGTCTGTTCATCTGTCTTACCTGAAAGTTTCAGCGGAATCCCAAAGCCTCAGGGCGGGTTCCACCACGGGTCCCTCCGGGGACCCGACCAAGCTCCGGATGGCCGCCGGCACCCGCGGCCCCAAATCACCGGGAAGGGGCGCGCTTTGCTTTGTGGCCGGGGCGGGGGAGCCTGAGACCAGGCCATTTTGCTACTGTGAGTCCAGTCTGGGTCACTACACACTCCTTTCCCACAACAATGCAGCCATGAGCTGGCCCAGTGGCGGCCACACGCGGTTACCATGGCGACGGCGGCGCTACCCGGGGGCCAGACCAACATGTTTAGGGGGGCACGCCTCCCCTTGACTATGCCACTTGGCGTGTGAGCAGCTCCAGAAGACGTTCCCGAGGCCTTCCTCGCTTCGTGAATCGGAGGGAACCCGCGGGGAGCCCCCGCTGATCCGCGGGAGCTCGTCTGGGAGGTGGCTCCCCCTCCGCCCTCGGTGGTACAGGCCATAGCCGCCGCGCATGCGCGCGATGGGTCCCCGGCGCCCGCCAATCGCAGTCGCGACGGTTGACGCGGCATGGGCGGATCCTTGCAGAAGGTTGGGGATAGCGCTGGACTCCGGCTTCGCAGACGCGCAAGGTATGTCTGGGAGCGCTGGGCGAAGGCCGGGGCCGGCCGGGGCCAGACGGGGTGGGTGGAAACCCGGGTACCCCTGGAGAGGGTGGCGGGCAGGCCGGATGGTGGCGTGCTCCGTGGGCGCATCTTGCGACGGTGACTCGGGACGGTCATGGTTTTGACCCATCACTTGAAGGGTTTCTCCTAACCGGTACCGAACTCCTGTGGTCCTGTGGCCCGTGCGCCTGCAGACACGCAACTGGCTGGCTCTTAACCCTTTCCAGACACTTTTGAGAATCCAGTGAAAACCAAAGATGCTTCCTTTTCTTTCTTGTCGGAATGAAAATAATGCGCTTTATAGCCTGATGCAAACTAAAGCTTCGCACATCAAGTACAGTTCCCTGTAGAGGGGCACAGTTTGATTTGCTTCCCAGGGTTATGGTGAGCATCAAACGCCCCAACAACTTGTAAACACGAAAGCACTCCTCACCTACAAACTGGATGCTGTTATTATTCCTGGTTATAAATAAGAGACTCCTGAGGGCTGGAGAGATAGCTCGACGTCTAAGAGCACTGGTTGCTATTGCAGAGAATCCCGATTCAATTCCCAGCTCATGACCGCCTGTAACTCCAGTTCCAGGAATCTGCGAACCCAAGGCACACGGTACACAAACTTACACGCAGGTAAAACACCCATACACATTGAAACAATAACAGCAAATAAAGCAGTTGAGGCCCTTGGGGGATAAAATGCTGGGATCCCATTGAGGGTGAGCAGCAGTGTTGGTTGGAAGCCAAGTATAGTCCCTTAACTTAAAAAAAAAAGAACCCTAGGGTTAAAGATGTTTAATCAAAGGCCGGTGTGTCTCTGTGAGTTCAAGGCCAGCCTGGTCTAGGGAGTGAGTTCCATGACAGCCAGGGCTACACAGAGAAATCTTGTCTCCGAAAAACAAAAACCAAACAAAAACAGAACCCCAGGATCTCAGTGGAGCTGATTATAAAGTCATCCAGAGCCTTGCAGGGTGCTGATATGGCCTGTACCTTGATCTAGAAGGATGTGTGTTCGTGTAAAATTTTGTGACTGGGACTGGGGAAAAGGCTCAGTGAGTGTGAGTGCACAAGTGTGAGGGAGTGAATTCAAGTCCCCAATACCCCAGTCAAAAGCCTACCGTGGACTCTTAACACTTATAATCCCAGCACTGTTGGGGGCAGAGACAGGACTGCTTGGACTCACTGGCCACCAGTCTAGCTCCAGGTTCAGGGAGAGACCCTGTCTAAAGGAATATGACAGAAAGTGATAGAGCAGCACACCTGGTGTCCTCTTCTGGACTCTGTCCCTGCATGCGTGCGCAGACACACACACACACACACACACACCCCTCTGCAGGTCCACATGCATACAGCACATAAACACATACATAAAAAAACTACCATGAAGCCTTGTGGTTTTAAAGCGTCTCTTTATTTGTTATACTTAAATTAAAAAGATGCCAGGCGGTAGTGGTGCATACCTTTAATCCCAGCACTTGGGAGGCAAAGGCAGGCAGATCTCTGGGTTCGAGGCCAGCCTGGTCTACAAAGAGAGTTCTAAGACAGCCTGGACTGTTACACAGAGAAACACTGTCCTGAAAAGTCAAAAATAAAAAAGTTGACCTCTTCCCTAAACCTAAATGATGTTAGTGATTTATGAGCATTGCAAGGAGGTTGTGATCAAAGCTGGTTTGATGGTGACAGGGTCATTGTCAGCTCTACCATGTTCTGGCTCTCTCCTTCTCTTGAGACACCTTCCCTCTCATAACAGGCCAGGTGACTTGACACATGGACCAAGTGACAGCACCACTGTCAGTCTGGGAATGAAATGCCAGTGTAGCTTTGAGGCTTCAGAATGGCGTCTATGCAGAAGTTAGTGTTCCTGGTGCTGCTCTTACTGGCTTACGGGGATAGAAATTTCATCCCTTGGTTCACACTCTAATGCTGATGATGCCAACTTGGGACAGGTTTGCCTGAGGCTAACTGTGAAGCCACACAGACTTTAGTTCAAATGCCTGTTCCCATGAAGACCTTGGCTTTCTAGGTGTCACCAATCAAATGGGGGTGAATGGGAGGGGCTTTGTCAAGGGGTAATTGTGAGTTAAATGAGATGATGCAAAGGCATTAGCATGCTGCCTGGCACACAGGAAGCATCCAGTGCATGGGATCTCCTCCCAGGACTTCTAGGACCTCAGGCCTTCCTTTGCTGCTCTGTCAAAAAGGACAGCTTCCCAGTAGATGTTGCCAGGATTGGTAATCATCAATGACTGAAATGTTTTCATGATTTGAGAACAATGAAAGAGAGTAACTGACCTGTTTGACCCCTAGGAGAAGGAAGTGTCCGTGTTTCCTCATCAAGTCAGGAATGCCTCTCTTTGGGAGTATATTCAGCCCAAAGAAGACCCCTCCTCGGAAGTCTGCCTCTCTCTCCAACCTGCATTCTGTGAGTGGAGATCGGGGTGCCACGAGGGGTCTCTGGGTGGAGAGACAACACTGTGGGAGGACATCCTTTTAGTTTCTGTTATTACTCAAGTTGGAACTCCTGTGTGAGTATTACTCTCAGAGTTTATTCAAGAACCCACTAAGCCAGCCAGCCTCATTCTGATCTTGGTCCCAGGTGATGATGTCCAATCTGACTTACATTTTAGTTCCAAAACCTGTCCAAGAATTCATTTCAGTTATGTTTAAAGATCACATTCAAGCCTGGCCTTGAACTCACAGAGATCCACCTGCCTCTGCCTCCTGAGTGCTGGGATTAAAGATGTGTGTCACCATGCCTGGCCTGGTTTCTTTCTTTCATTTTTTTTTTGGAATGTGGATGGTGTGTTGTAGAATATTATTTTAAGGTATGTAAAATATTATTTTAAGGTATTTTGTTTTGTTTATGTTGCATTTGTTTAACTCTGTGAAGCTGTGTTACTGTGCCTGTCTAAAACACCTGATGGTCTAATAAAGAGCTGAATGGCCAATAGTGAGGCAGGAGAAAGGATGGACAGGGCTGGCAGGCAGAGAGGATAAATAGAAGGAGAAAACTGGGGGAAGGAAATAAAGTAGCCAGAGAAGGAGGAGGACTCCAGGGGCCAGCCACCCAGCTACACAGTAAGCCACAGACTAAGAGTAAGATTTACAGAAGTAAGAGAACAGGAAAAGCCCAGAGGCAAAAAGTAGACGGGATAATTTAAGTTAAGGAAAGCTGGAAAGAAACAAACCAATCTAAGGCCGGGCATTTATAAGTAAGAATAAGGGCCGGGCAGTGGTGGCGCACGCCTTTAATCCCAGCACTCTGGAGGCAGAGCCAGGCGGATCGCTGTGAGTTCGAGGCCAGCCTGGGCTACCAAGTGAGTTCCAGGAAAGGCACAAAGCTACACAGAGAAACCCTGTCTCGAAAAACCAAAAAAAAAAAAAAAAGTAAGAATAAGCCTCTGTATATGATAATATTCAAGTCCCAATAAAAAAAATAAATAATAGAGGCAGTGGACAGATATCTTAATGAGGAGAGTAGTGTGGAAACAAAGTTGTCACTTTAAATAAGGTGCTCAAGGGAGTTCTGACTGAACAACAGACATTTCAGCACAGGCCTGAGGGGCTTCTTTCCTCTGTGTGTGTGTTCTCTGACTGTGTGTGTGTGTGTGTGTGTGTGCATGTGTGTGCATGCTCTGGCACCCATTGCCTGCACCTGCTTCTGGAGCTGCTCCGTCTCCCTCACAGGGGCAAACGCTCCTCTCCGGCAGAGCTGGTCACACTCATCTCTGAGTGCTCGGGAACCAGGCCTGACTTAGGGGAGTGTTTGATGAGCTCTGTCGATGAATACAGAAATTAGACTGTCACACATTAAACAAGCCCTAGCAGGAACTGTTAGAATTTTATGCTTCTTCATAACTGTGTGCTTCTATATTAAGTAAATTACAAATTTCCTTATTATAAATGCACAGTGATGGGAAGAGAATGAATTAGAACCAAGTATCAGTACACATGAACCAAGTATCAGTACACATGTACAAATGTACAATGGATTCTTTGAACGGTAAAGTAGATGTAAAAATTCAAGTACAAATTATAGCCTATATAGCCTTTCTGGAAACATCCAAAGTATAAAATAGAACAGTTCATCCCTCTTATAGTTTAAATTGAATGGGTGGGTAGGTGCTTATGCATGGAGGCCAGAAGGGAACATTGGGTGTCCTGCTTTACCACTCTGCCTTATTCCCTTGAGACAGGGTCTCATTCTGAACCTGGAACTTACTATTTGAGGCAGGGTACCTCCACACCATCAGCGGACACCCCTGCCATCTGAGATGCCTTTATCCTAACCTCCATTCCTGCCACTATCCTGGGGCATTCAGCTCACATACTGCTTCATCCGAGAAGCTCTCTCCACTGTATAGTGCCAATGCCAGCCTCTACTTAGACTAGAGGACACCCTTCCAGACACAGGAATTATGGGTATTTTCTCCCAGACTGGTGACCAGCAAACCAATGAGCCTATTTCCCATCTACTTCCCCCGGTACACACATTGCACTGGGACTTAGAGACACATGGGCATACCTGGCTTTTTGTGTGGGTGCTGGGAACTCAAACTCTTACCCATGGGCAATTTTCCTAGCCTCTACTTTAAATGGTTGCTGTATATAATTTGATAGTCTAGTCTTTTAAAGTATTTCAAATATTGACAGGTATGGTAGCACACTAATCCCAGCACTCGGAAGGCAGAGGCAGGTGGATCTCTGTGAGTTTGAGGCCAGCCTGGTCTACAGAATGAGTTCTAGGACAGCCAGGGCTACACAGTGCTATCTGTCTCCAAAAAAAAAAAATGGTGGGAGGACAGACATCTGTTTTGTTGCGTTTGGAACTAGTGGGAGAAGCTGGGATGTGAGCTCTTGTTCTATGGCTTCCTGAGTCATCATAGTGTCTTAACCACAGTTAGATCGGTCAACGCGGGAGTTGGAGCTGGGCCTTGACTATGGAACTCCCACCATGAACCTGGCGGGACAAAACCTGAAGTTTGAAAATGGCCAGTGGGTGGCAGGTGAGTGGCCCTTCCTGCTGCTTTGTCATCCAGGACGGTAGAAGGAACCCCTTTCACCCCTGCTCTGTGCTTCCTTTAGACACAGTGATTAGCGGGGGTGTGGATCGGAGAGAGACCCAGCGCCTGCGCAAGCGGAACCAGCAGTTGGAAGAAGAGAACAATCTCTTGCGGCTGAAAGTGGACATTCTGCTGGACATGGTGAGGAATGGAACTGATGCCTAGGTTTCCCCTTCAAGGAAGCCCTCCCTTCAGTCAATCCACCCAACTGATTTCCCCAGGGCTTATTTGCCAGATACATTTCCTGTGTATCCAATCACGAATATAAAAGTCAACCTTGCCGCCAAAGCCTGGAGCAGGGATGTATAACAATACCCACAATCCCTGTGTCTGTGGAAGGGTGTCCTTTAGTCTAAGTAGAGGCTGGCATTGGCACAGAAGAGGTCTATACAGTGGAGAGTTTCTCGGATGAAGCAGTATGTGAGCTGAATGCACCAGGATAGTGGCAGGAATGGAGGTATCTCAGATGGTGGGGGTGTCCACTGATGGTGTGGAGGTACCCTGCCTCAAACAGACTGAATCAGTGCCCAGCGCAGACCTGCTGAGTGCACATACCCAATTAACGTCAGTCTCTGGTGTCTTCTGGGCCTGGTGGTGCATGTGCATGGTGATGACAGACGTGATGGAACCAACGGGAAGCTTTTCTCCCTGCTGGTGGTGACAGACGTGATGGAACCAATGGGAAGCTTTTCTCCCTGCTGGTGGTGACAGACGTGATGGAACCAATGGGAAGCTTTTCTCCCTGCCGGTTAACCACTCGGCTTCATCTCCGGCAAGACAGCTGGCATTACAGTAGCTCTTACTTCATGGAGCTAATACAAGCCACACACTTGCTCTGAAGTAGAGACCGCTGGCCCTTCCTCCCTCCGTCTTCATGTTCAATGTCAGCTACCTTCTGCTGTACAGCCCATTCAAAGATCCTGATGAGGAAAGGAACGTTACTTTTAGAGCGTCCCATTTGTGGATTGATTTTTTTTTTTTGGTGGGGGGGTTTCGAGACAGGGTTTCTCTGTGTAGCTTTGCGCCTTTCTTGAATCTCACTCTGTAGACCAGGCTGGCCTCGAACTCACAGATATCCGCCTGCCCCTGCCTCCCGAGTGCTGGGATTAAAGGCATGCACCACCACCGCCCCGGTGATTTTTTTTCCCACAGTGTTGTTCCCTAAATTCCATTATGTGAGCTATACAACTCCAAGTGATTTATAATCCCTCAACCGTAGAGTACCGTATCTGTCCTCGTCATCCTTCACACACGGCATGGCATGCAGTTGTAAATGATGGGAACTGCTGAGGGCTTGAATTATGAGTAATTCCTTTGACTGCCCAGGTTTCCTGTTGAAGAGGCCAGCTGCGGGGGAATGGCCGGCCTGTCCTTGGTGCAGAGTAGCTGTGCAAGCCTACAGCATGGCCTGGACAAAGCTCTCTTTGTAACAGTCTGATGCTCTCCTTCCAGCTTTCAGAGACCACTGCAGAGTCCAACTTGAAGGACAAAGAATTGGATGAGCTGAAGATTAGCAACCGCAGGAGGAAGTGAAGTGCCTGGGAAGGCTCGCTAGGAGATTAGCAAGCGTCCCACTGACTGGGGATGTGGCAGAGCCCTTTGATTTTTAGTCAAATTAATAGACTTGCCCTAGGAGAGAGCATTAACAGACCCTAGCTCCCTTGGACTTGGGGGTAGGGAAGTGGCACGGATTGAAAGACATCAAGGTTCCAACCAGGGCCATAGCTTGGGCGGCACCAGACACACGACCCATGGTGTCAATCTAAGCAGGCCCCAGGAAGGTCTAGAAAACAGTCAGCCTTTGCTTGCTGTCTGCAGGGGACAGGTATGACTAACTATCCACGTCTCAGAGTCACCGTGTTCAGACAACTGGCAGTTCACCTCCTAACACGGTGGCTGGGGTTTGGCACTAGTTCCAGAGAGCACTTCCAGTGAGGGGAACGGTAAGTGGGTCTGGGTTCTCTGTCCCCTCCAGCCATGTTCTCTCTGCCTTCAAAGAATCCTCATCCCCAAATCCACAGCCTTTTCTGGCATCAGCTTCCCAGCAGCAAGCTCCCACCTTCCACAGCACATTGTAATTTACTCGGCTTTCCTGTTTTGACTATTTTTATTTGTATTAAATGGTATTCACTAATCTCTGTGTAGCAAAATAGGTAAAGAAAAACAAAAAGCAAAACCACTGTGGGTTCCCCAAGAAGCAAGCGGAGCCTGCCTTCTAAGTCCCAAGAGAATTTGCAGGATTAGGAAAACTGCACCGGGGCTGGAGAGATGGCTCAGTGGTTAAGAGCACTGGCTGTTCTTCCAGAGGACCTGAGTTCAATTCTCAGCACCCACAAGGCGGCTCACACCTGTCTGTAATTCCAGTTCCAGGAGATCTGACACCTTCACACCAATTCATATAAATAAATAAATAAATTTAAAAAAAAGAAAAGAAAACAGCACCTTGGAGTGGGAAACCACACCCTAGATGAGAAATAATGACTTCATGCTCAAATTCCTCTGCTTTCTGCTTCAGGGAGGTGGCACCAGTGGCCCAGTGAGTAGTTCAGACCTGGTGAGGAGTGGATGGCATGGGAATCGGTGCCCAAGTTAGTGTGATCTAGCCCGAGGGGAGTCTAGTTGTGAAAGTCAAGCAGGAGACACTGGTTGAGGCCTGGAGCCCAGGGCTTTGAGCTGGGACTGCCTCAGTGGTTCCCTCCTGGGCTGGTGCGGAGGCTGGCCGTGTGCTCAGTCCTTTGCACTTGCTCTCCCATCCCCCCAGTTCAGCCCTGTCAGCATGCCCCATTGTACACAAGGAGACAATGTTCAGAGGCCAGTTTGGAAACTGCCTTAGACAATAAAGCAAGTGTTGGAGGCCTCTGAGTCCCGACCCATAGTGACAGACAGAGGAGGGACTACCTACACCGAGGCTGTAGCTTACAGTCTCTCCTAATGGCCAGCAGAACACTGCAGGGGGATGGACAGAGGCAGGCATATCGGAGTACAGCTCCAACCTCACTTCCGGATCCCTGAGCGAGTGCCTAACCTGGAAATCTACTCTGCCTTCCTCCCCCCCCCCCCCCGCCCCCTTTGTTTTTGTTTTTTCCAGACAGGGTTTCTCCATGTAGCCCCAGCTGTTCTGCAGCTCTATAGACCAGGCTGGCCTCGAACTCATAGACTCATCCACAGGACCAATGGTTTCACAAACTCCAGTAGGTTATAGATGGAGTAGATGGTGGGGTGGGCCAACTCAAAGCTCTAGATGTGGGTCTGGGTGGTAGCTGACTTGGTCTTTCCAGGCTGCTGGGACCACCCTCCTCAGTGGAGGGACAGAGCCAGCTCTTCTATGCCCATGCCATGGGGTCCATGTCTCATGAGGAGCAGGACCAGCTCCTTTGCTGCAGTGGCCAGCAAGGGGCAGGGCCAGCAAAGGGTGGTGCCTGCTTAGCACGGCCCTCTGATTTCAGCACACATGATTCCTGTGCCCCCCTGTGGTAACATGGGCCATGGAGATCAACACTCCAGCTGCAGTGGACCCAGACATGGCCCTCAGCAGGAGCTCGGGCCCAAATGTCACTATGGCCCCAGATGGTAACACAAGCCACTCAGATCGGCAGGGCCCTTATGGCAGCATAAAATACCAACATGGCCACAGGGGATGGCCCAGAACTTGGGCATCCGTGTGGCCTTTGGTGGCAACACAGACCACAGACATCAACACAGATCCCGGCTGCAGTAGGACCATGTACCCAGACATGGTCCTCAGCAGCAGCCCAGGCCGGATGTCAGCAAGGCCCCAGGTGGCAGCCCAGGTCACTCAGATCAACATGGCTCTAGCAGCAGTGTGGCCCTCAGACACCAACATGGCTCCAGTTGTTGAGAGTTTCCTTTTTGGAGCCAGGCAGTGGTGGCGCACACCTTTAATCCCAGCACCGGGGAGGCAGAGGCAGGCGGATCTCTGAGTTTGAGGCCAGCCGACTCTACAGAATAAGTTCCAGGACAGACAGGGCTACACAGAGAAATCTTGTCTTGAGAAGAAGAAAAAAAAAAAAAGTTTCCTATTTTGGGTAGATATCTCCTTCAGGTTCTGGCTAAAATTCTCCCTCAAAGCCTTTCTTAGTCAAACTGGAAACTGACTAGTGCTGGCCCCTGACATTATTTCTTGTGATCATGGCAACAGTTGGTGAGGATTTGTGCTGAGGTGGATTAGGGAAGGATTGCCACTAAAGCTGAAATAGAAGGTTCTGTGGGTGTGAGGCAGTATTAGAGTCAATAATCAGAGGAAGTCTGCCCTTGGGTTTGCTGGGATGGCTGACTTTTACAGTTGTTAGCTTCCCCAAGAGACCCGTGTGGTCCCACACCTCAAGTAAGAGCTTCACCTCCAGCTTCAAATTCTGACAGGACCCAGACAGGGAGAGCAGTTACTGTAGCCCTGAGGGAAGAGACTGAACAGCTAGGACACCCTCCTCCTCCCCAGGTGGAGCATAGTCACTCACTGGAACTCTTATAGGTCCTTTTTGTCTGTGTGACCTCTGACCTGGGCATTTGTCCTGGAAGCCTAAAGTGATCATCACACTCCCCAACTCTGGAGCTCTGTCCTCTGCTCCTGGCTCAGGCTTCTCTGGATCATCTTGTCCACCCCCAAGTGGTGTGCAAGTGATATTGCATGATCCCACTGTTTCTGACCACTTGGCAATTTTACAATTATTGAAAACCCTTTAAAAAAAAAAGAAAAGAAAAGAAAAAAGCTGGGTGGTGGTGGCACATGCCTTTAATCCTAGCACTTGAGAGGCAGAGGCAGGAGGATGTCTGTGAGTTGGAGGCCAGCCTGGTCTACAGAGTGAGTTCCAGGACAGGCAGGTCTACACAGAGAAACCCTGTCTTAATAAACAAACAACAAAAAAAACCCTTTACTATTAAACATGTCTTAGTTGGGTTTTTGTTGCTGTGAAGAAACACCCTAACCATGGCAACTCTTTATTTATTCATTTGTTTATTTAGAGAGGGTTTCTCAGCGTAATTTTGGTGCTTGTCCTGGAACTCACCCTGTAGACCAGGCTGGCCTCGAACTCACAGAGATTTGCCTGGCTCTGCCTCCTGAGTGCTGGGATTAAAGGCATGTGCCACCACCGCCTGGCCATGGCAACTCTTATAAAGAAAACATTTAATTGGGGTGGCTCACTTACAGTTTCAGAGGTTCAGTCCATTATCATCATGAAAGGGAGCATTTGTTTGTTTGTTTTTGTTTTTTTCGAGACAGGGTTTCTCTGTGTAGTTTTGGTTCCTGTCCTGGATCTCGCTCTGTAGACCAGGCTGGCCTCGAACTCACAGAGATCCACCTGGCTCTGCCTCCTGAGTGCTGGGATTAAAGTCATGTGCCACCGCTACCCAGCTTGATCCTTTTCTTTATATGTTTTCACTAGAGTTACCACTAATACCCATGTGGAAGGGGCCCCAAAACAGCTTGACCACACAGCTGCCATGACAGGCTTAGAGGCCCAGACACAGCTTCTGTGACAAGCTTACTGGCAGGCAACACCTGGATCCAGGAAAAGCTATAAGCTAACCCCATCCAGGGAGGGTCTACATTTAAGGGGAAGTACCTGACACCCCAAACATTACAACCATTAGATAAGGTGGCCAGATGTCCCTGAGTCTAGCACACACCTGTTTTTGTTTTACAGATACCCCTAGACAAATGTCAGCCAATCAGGGTCCTGAACCCTGGAAATCCCCTCACCCCAACCACTGCTATGATAAAAACTCTACCCTGCCTGGGCTCAGAGCTCTCTGCTCTCACCGCTGCATTGGACAGACAGACCAAGCCCCGGAGCTTGAAGATAATAAAGGTTCTTTGCTTTTACATACAAGATTCGATCTCTGTGGTGGTCTTTTGGGGGTCCCCGAGATCTGGGCCTAACAATCCTCATGACAGAATCTATACTAGGCTGTTTTGAGATTTCTTCTGCCAATGGAATTAATCCTAAACTCTGCACTCTAGCTCAGACTCTTCGGACAAGGGCAAAAGGCAGCCACTTCCTTCACCAAACTATCACAAGAACAATTTCTGGGCAGCATACTAAAATTCTTCTCCTCTGAAACATCTTGAGTAAGCCCCCCACAGTTCATCAAATCACATACAGCACCACTGTCTTCCATGCTCCTACTAGTATGGCCCATTAAGCAGAGAATAATGCATTCCACTGCTTTCCAAACCCAAAGTACCAAAGTCCAAATTCCTCCAAACAAACCATGGTCAGGCCCATCACAGCAATACCCCAGTCCCTGGTACCAACTTCTGTCTTAGTTAGGTTTTTATTGCTGTGAAGAGACACCATGACCATGGCAACTCTTACAAAGAAAATATTTAATTGAGGAGGGCTTGCTTACAGTTTCAGAGGTTCAGTCCATCATCCTCATGACAGGGAGTATGGCGGCATGCAGGCAGACATGGTGCTGGAGTTGAGAGTCCTACATCTTGACTCAGAGGCAACAGGAAGTCGACTGACAGTCACACTGAGGGCAGCTTGAGCAAAAGAGACCTCAAAGCCCACCCCACAGTGACATACTTCCTCCAACAAGGCCTCACCTCCCAATAGTGCCACTCCCCTTTGGGGGCCATTTTCTTTCAAACCACCACAACATACTTTGTTTTAAAATCATGCATGAGCTGGATATAATGTTGCATGTATTTAGTCTAAGTACCTTGGAGGGAAAAGCAGGTGGATTTCTATCAGTTGGAGGACTACATAAAGAGTTCCAAGAAAGCCAGGGCTACATAGAGAGACCTTGTCTCAAAATAAATAAATAATAGTAATAACAATAATAGTAATAATGTAAAAATGCTTGCTGCTAAGCCTGAATTTGATCCCCAGGACCCACATGGTGGAAGAAGAGTGTTGTGGGGAATTCACCAGACTGTTCAGACATGAGTTTAAGCCAATAGGAAATCTTTATTAGCTGGCCAGTGACTACACTTGGTGTTTGGGATCCCAATGTAGCCCTGAGCCTTTCTCAGGGTGAGCTTTTAAGAACAAAAACTATGTCCTGGGTTGGCACACTTCAATTAACAAAAACAGTTAGCCAGAAGCAGAACTACAAAAGCCAAAAAAGCAAGGTTAGTACATTCAGAGACTTTCCCAAGAACTACGGACTTTGATGGATTAGGTCTTTGTTTTCATTTTTGCCTGGTGGTGCTGTCTATGTGCTGATTTTTAAAGCCTGAATGGCACTTCCATCATGGAGTCAGTTGTGCTACAGTCTGGGGGCCTACTAAGGTCCGGGGCCCTGCTACAGATATAATCAACTCCTGTAAGTTGTCCTCTGACCTCCATAAGCACAACATGGCATATGTGCGCCAATACACATACAAAAAATAAAAGTGTAATTTTTTCAAATAAGATTTAGTGTAGATGTAACCGTCTTATTATTAAATAAGAAACACAGAGCCAAACGCAGAGTTAAAAGCCCAAGAGGTCAGAGCAGTAGTAAGAGCTGATACTAAAAAACCCTTCTTACCCTTCCTTCGGCTGCTGTCCTTCCCCTCAGCAAGAGACCTACTTCCTATGTATCTGTCTTTTTATTGACCTTCTGTTCTGCTTTCTCATTGGTTGTAAACCCAACCACATGACCTCCTCGTCACTGCCTGTCTATACAGACCTCCAGGTCTTCTATGGTTGGTATTGAGATTAAAGGCGTGTTTCTCCATGCGGGCTGTATCCTTGAACACACAGAGATCTGTCTGTCATGTGATCTGGATTAAAGGTGTGCACCACCACCGCCCGGCTTCTGCTATGGCTTGCTATTAGCTCTGACCCCCAGGCAACTTTATTTATTAACAAATAAAATTACATTTCAGTACAATTAAAATATCACCATAATTTAGTTTTTTTCAATTATGTGTTGTTGGGACTGGAGAGATGGCTTAGCATTTAAGATCACTTACTGATCGTCCAAAGGACTCAAGTTCAGGACCCAGTATCCATGAGTTACGTGGCTCATGACTGCCTGTAGCTCCAGCTCTGGCCTCCAAGGGTACCTACACTGGTGCACATACACATAATTTAAAATAAAAATTTAAAGCATTCATTGTTGAGTGAATGGCACACACTTGTAATCTCTACACTTGGGAGACTGAGGCAAGAGAAGTCTGAGGCCAGCCTAGGCTACCATGCCATGACCTTGTCTCAATAAGACAAGTAGAGCAGGGTGTGGCAATGCATACCTTTACTGTGAGTCTGAAGCCAGCCTGGGCTACATAGTAAAATCTATCTATGAGAGAAGTATTGTTCACCCAGCGGTAGTGGCTCTGGTCTTTAAACCCAGCACTCAGGAGACAGAGGTAGGTGGATCTCTGAGTTCAAGACCAGCTTGGTCTACAAAGCGAGTTCCAGGACGGTCAAGGCGGTACATAGAAATCCTGTCTCTAAAAGCCATAGGAATATTTTTCTTTTAAATATGCAGGTTTCGGAGCCCAGCCCAGGCTCAACTGCGCGGAATAGCTGTGAAGCACCTATTGAACAAGCTCGGTGTTCTTCCCTAGCTTAAGTGGCTGGCGACATCCAGGGGGCGGGCCAGAGGACCCGCTGCGGCTCTCTCTCCAGCCAGCCCCGCTCGCTTCCGGAAGACGCTCTGTCCAGCGGCGGGCCGCTCTCACCGGCTCCCTTCCGCTTCCGGTGTCCTACAGCCATGGCCGCCGCCGTCGCTGCAGCCGGTGCTGGGGAGCCTTTGTCCCCAGACGAATTGCTCCCGAAAGCCGAGGCGGAGAAGGCCGAGGAGGAGCTGGAAGAGGACGACGACGACGAGGTGCCTGGGCCTGCGGGGAGCGGGGCGGGAGCGGGCCGTCGGGGCGTGGGCGCCGCAAGCCGGGAGGGCTGCTGCTCCGCGCGGCAGGGAAGGGCCCGGCCCCGGGCTCGGCGGCTCCGGTGCTGCTGCCGCTTCGCCAACGACCTCCACCTCCTCCACCACAGCTAGATGAGACCCTGTCGGAGAGACTCTGGGGTCTGACGGAGATGTTTCCGGAGAGGGTCCGGTCTGCCGCCGGAGCCACCTTTGATCTGTCGCTCTTCGTGGCTCAGAAGATGTACAGGTAAAGGACGAATGTAGAAATACCGAGAGTGTGCATGGAGGGACTGGTGCTGTCGAAGGACATCGGGCATCGGAAACCACATCGGGCATCGGAAACCACAGTGGGGAGCTTGAGTGACCTTGGATTCATTGTCATACCCCGACTGTGGGTCGTCTTCTGGCAGGGTCGTTGTGGGAATTCTTTCATGTTATCTAAGGATTCTGTATGCGAGGCCTATAAGAATGTTAACTGTCATCACTAGGTAATCACTGTCTTGCCTCTGCCAGGAGTTTGGTGCAAGGATTGGGTAGGGTACACTTGCAGAAACATCGAGGAGAGGGATACTGGAAGTTGTCACTGGTTCAGTAGAGGCTAGGTTGCCTGCTTGTCTTGGCATGTCACCACACACACTCTCCCTGTGCAGGTTTTCCAGGGCAGCTTTGTGGATTGGGACCACTTCCTTTATGATCCTGGTTCTTCCTGTTGTCTTTGAGACAGAGAAGTTGCAAATGGAGCAACAGCAGCAACTGCAGCAGCGGCAGGTGAGCGTGTGCTCCGGGCTCGGGGCCAGCGGTGGAGGCCCCAGGAGTAGATTGGCACCAAACCCCGAGTGGGAGTAGGTGCCCGACTGCTCAGCAGCGTAGGTGACCAAAGACCTACTGAATCGGTACAGCTTCTTAACACTCTTTTTTTCTTTTCCAGATACTTTTGGGGCCTAACACAGGTCTGTCAGGAGGAATGCCCGGGGCTCTACCTCCACTTCCTGGAAAGATCTAGACTGTTACTTCGGTATTTGTCCTGGTGGGAGAACTTTGAAATTCAGTTGTGTTTGAACTGCTGGTTGTTTGGACTTTTTAGTCTTTTTTTTTTTTTTTTTAAACTTTGGCACATCGATCTATTTAAACCTGGTGGGAACTTTCTCCGTTTCTCATGGGGAGACTCCACTTGCACCTGTGCCCTTCATAATGCTCTCACTTCCTGTTCTCAATCTGATGCTAGAGTACAGCCATGGGAAGGTTACTCCACGTTATCCCTTTAGAAAATTGCTCCTATTGAAGTTCTCACAGGTCCCTTGTGGGGAAGAAGTAAGCACCCCTGACCATTAAGGCCTTTTTTTTTTTTTTTTTTTTAAACAAATGGAGATGTCTGGGACCTGTAAACAATGTGAAGCTGACAAAATCCATTACAGCTGCCGTTAAAAACAGTCCCCAGGAATCGCTGTATGTTGGAGAGAAGTGAGGCTGGCTGTAGCTTTAGCCAGGCGGGGACTGAGAACAGAGCGGGCGCCCATTTCCTCTGCACATGTGGCTGTTAGAGACCTGTGTGTTGTGTAAAAAAAGAAGCCAGTGCTCACTTTTTGTATTTAAATATTAAAAGACCTCCAACTGAAAGTGTCATTGCTGTGTTTGTGTATTTTAAACTTAGGCCATTTTAGAGAGCCAGGGGCACTACCTGCCAGACTGCCTTTGCTTAAGCCAGCAGCTCTATTTCAGATGTCTGAGTTTTCAAAGAGGAGGAGGAACATTTATTTTTGAATGTTGTATCGATTATTGCCCCGAATCCAAGTATCACTTCAGACTCCCCCACGGAATTACCAGCTCTGTGGATGTGCAGTCTACACAGTATAAACTGTTAAAGTATGTATTGCCTTCTAGTCTTGAGAGAGGGGAAGTTTGCAGATAGAGCTTGTTATCTAATTCTTGTTTTTCTTGGGGGTAGAGTCTCTCCATAAGCCCAGGCTAGCCTTCAACTCAGTCTTCCTGAGTGCTGAGGGATTATGGACATGCACACCTGGTAAGACTGATTTTTTTGTTTTAATTTTCGAGACAGGGTTTCCTGGCTGTTCTGGAACTCACTCTGTAGACCAGGCTGGCCTCCAACTCAAGAGATCCTCTGCCTCCTGGAGTGATTAAAGGTGCGTACCACCACTGCCCAGTTTTTTGTTTGTTTGAAGTGAGTCTGGTAATTGATCCAGATATTTTCCTATCTTTGAACCTTGCAGTTTTTCCACTCAATGTTGGTCTTTTGTCTTTCTCTTGAAATGGTCTATATAGATCAGGTTGGCTTCCAACTCAGGATTGCCTGCCTCTGCCTCCTGAGTGGTGGATCAGATGTGTACGACACCACACCTAGCTTGACTCTAATTTATTGTGCAGGTTTTCTAATCCTACTCTGTGATTGAGGAGGTTGTGCTATTCCCATGGGTTAAGGAATCTGCACAAGGCCTGTCACTGTAGGGTCTGGATTCAAAGCCAGCCTTCCAACTAGACCACTGTTGTGTGCTCTCCAAGCCAGTAGCTAGCTCAGTGTGTTTGGCTTTTCGCTTGATAATTAGAGAAGCACTAATAGAAGACAGTCAACAAGGTACAAATTCCAACAGAAGTCTCATTTTTAAAATTACAGTAAATTCAAATGCCTCAAGGGCATTTTTGTTTGAGGCAGGGTATAGCTAGCTGGATCCCAGACTGATGTTGAATACATCTTGCCTCAGCCTCCCCACTGCTAGGACAACAGGATAGCTGGGGGCACCTCTGAACTAAATCCCACTAAGTAAATACTTTATCTTGGTTTTTCAGGTGAGAGATTTGATCAAAGTGTCTCGGAGTGGTGACAAAATCCCTTTTATGTCAGAATCATATCAAAGGTGTTTACATAATCAGTTAGGCAACAAGTAGACTTGTGTTCAGTTTTTCATTTTTAATATTTGGTTAAACAAAATACATCTTTGTAAACAAACCCAGCACAAGGCCAACAAAAAAAAGGGAATAAAGCAAGAAAAACAAAGCCTAGGGCTGCCCCTCGCTGGGCATCAGGGTCAGGATGCCCCTTCCTTAAGGAGTGGGGCTTTTTGCCCTCCGGCATCACATGGGTCCCTGTTCCTAAGCACCAGAATTGGATATGAACAGAACCAGCCCTGAAATGCTTAAGCGTCTTTGTCCATCCCACTGGCTCATGGACTCCACGTGCGTGGGACTCCTTTGCAGTGCCATTTGCACAGGCCCAGGCAGATCTGGAGAGAGGAGTCTCCTCTCCCAGGAAATGGCTTACGACCACCGACAGTGCCAATGGACCCAAGGTCCGGCTTGTGACAATCAGCAAGGTCGGCTGTAACTTCTGGCTGGTAGTGATTGGAATGTCATTGTGCAGGGTCAGAGCTCCCCATGGTGCCAAGCAGATCCGGTGTAGAAAATGGTACAGATGACCGTGGTTGAGTGTAATGCAGTAGCCACCCGGGGCCTCTGCTACTCGAATAAAAAACGGCCTTGTTGGATTGAAGATACATGTGCAGAAAAAGTGCTGGTGTAAACATGCACTCCAGTCACAGTGGGGAGATAGCCCCTGCTTCACCCCAATATGCTTGCTCAGGATTGACATGCAAGCCCCTAGGCTAGCTCTGCTGCCAAGGGAGAAGCCTGGCCATGGGGCAGCTCTCAGACCTGCAGAGACCATGGCTCCCTAAGGGCTGGCCAGGTCACCTGCCTGCCCACCTTGAAGGCCACCACAGCCACATTGGTGTGTGGTATGATATTTATTTCCTCTAATTTTCCAAAATTACAGGAGAAAAAAATGGTCTAGAACTACTTGAGGTGGGGGTGAGCCAACCTCAGTTGGTGAAGGAAACTACACAAAGATGCACACAAGCAACCTGAGACTCCCATGCCACAGTGCTGGAGCCCAGGATGTGCCTACCAGTTCTCATTCTCAAACTGTGAGGCTCACCTTCATGGCAGTTTCCTCTCAACTCTGTCCCCAACTTTGGAGTTCGATGCCAACGGTAGATGTGTTTCTGACTTTGCTAAAATGGGCCAACCAGGAGTGCTGTCCCTCTTCATTGTCTTTGCCCCAGAGCTTCCTGAGTCAATGTAGTGAAATGGTAGGGACATATTAGAGTGAAAAGCTACCCGTGACTGTCCTAATGGGGCTTCAGCTCCACAATATTAGGCATCTTTTTCACCACTGTCTTGCTGGAATACCATGCAATTTACCGACTTTGGAATATCAGAACTTTTCAGTATAAAACTCCAAGGCTGGCTAGGATTAAAAATGGGGTAAGAGGTGGCATCATGGATGCAGATGGCATGCGGTGCCACCACTAGGGGCTTGACAGTTTCCTGAGACGCTTATGCTCTGGGTCCTCTGAGCGAGTCACTGGGCTCTGTGTGTACTGTGTCCTTGGACACCCTGGTGCCACAGGAGATAAAAAGAGGAGGCGGCCCCCCTGTGAGCCTGGAGCATCAGTGACAACTACCAGCAGAACCTGTGTCAAGTCCTCATAGAAAGGGGAAATAAGCAAGCGCCCCCAAGGACCCTTTTCACCCTCCCTCTGAAATAGAAAAGGGTGTTCAATGGCTTGCCCTAAGTGTTCAGAGCTCCTCTACCTTCTTCCCCCAGGCACAGACAGTGCTTGGTGGCTCTGTGACAGTCCACACACCTGTCCTATTGCACTGGCAAATTTGAGGGGGAAACCCAATGAGATGTTTGGGGAAGTGGCTGGACAGACCCATTGTAGAGGCCACAGCACATCAAAGAGGGCTGGAGGGTTGAGGCGAAGAGCGGGTCCAGCAGAACTGTCACACATCCGCCCTCCAGCTCTGATGGGCTTCCACTTCTTCTGGTACCACCAGTAGGAGTTCACAGTTTTTTCCTCGCAAATGGTATTTTAGAAATTTCCTATGGAAGAGGGAATAGGCAACAAGAAATGAGATGCCACTGATTTGCGGATTGCAGTCTTGGGGTCACCCATTCACCAGAATAGAAACACCTCTCCACTTAACACCCATGGCAATCCTCTTTTGTTTGTTTGTGACAGGGTTTCTCTGTAGCTCTGGCTGTCCTGGAACTCACTCTGTAGACCAGGTGGCCTCAGATTCAGAGATCCACCTGCCCCTGCCCCCTGAGTGCTGGGATAAAAGAGGTGCACCACAACCACTAGGCTATCCCTTATGGCAATCCTATAACTCCAGGGGTGACTGACTTAGAGGGTCCAGGCTTGGTTACTCCTCCATTCCTGTTAGAATTCCAGTCTCAATTTCTGCTCATTCTCAGATATTACTGCCATTAGTGTGCTGCTGTGAGTTCTAGAACACAGCATATTCTAATGGTTACTAAGTGTCAAACAAACAAAATAGCATAAAACCTGGGCGAGCTCAAGGTAAAGCACTTGCCAAGCAGGCCTGACAACCTGACTGAGATCCCAGGAACCCACAGTGGAAGAAGATTAACACCTGAAAATTGTCCTTTGGCCTCCATATATGCCCAGGAGCACACACACCTGCACACATACAATAATAAAAGGAAAAACTTCAGTTACAGGACTGGGAGTGGTGGTGGTGTATGCCTTTAATCCCAGCACTCAAGAGGCAAGGGCAGGCAGAAGGTAGATCTGAGTTCAAGACCAGCCTAGTCTACATAAGGAGTTCTAGGACAGCCAAGACTACATAGACTCTAAAACAAAACAAAACATCAACAAAAACCTTTGGTCATAGAGAAACTTAACCCTGTCTGAACTGTATCATCTTCCTCTCTCTTAACTGGCAGTTGTCTAAATGGAGAGGTGGCTGTCGGCCCCACCAGACCAGAAGGCTAGAATCATGGATGTGAAACCCGTTCATCAAAGGGATGGAGTCCTAATTGAGTCTTCAGCCTAAGACCCTATGATTCCAAGAAGGCAGGTCAAGGAACTTCCTTTGTCAAATAATCAGATGAGTCTGACTTCCCAGTACCCCAAGCTAAAAGCCTGAAAGCCCAGCCTTTGGGGGTCACCTGAGCTCACTCTCGCCTCCAATCCACTCCGGCATCTTGAGTTTGGAGTCAAGGTTGTAGTAGGCCCCTCCCACCTCACGAACGCAGATCCAGTGCTGCCTTTTGAGAGGCAACTTGAGGGGACCCCAGCACAGGCTGGAGGGCAGGTTCATGATGAAGCCCATGACGTTACTGAGAGCAATGACACCCACGTCCCTGCAGGAGAGAAAAGGTGTGAGGCTCTGGGGCAGCCACTCTGCATGGCTGCCCCCATTCACTTGGGGTTGGCACCATAACCAGCCCCTGTTGGCAAATCAAGTTTGGTTCTCTACCTGCGCTTGTCCCACCAAACAGCCTCATAGCCTTTGGTTTGAAGTGCTGCCATGATGACATTCACATCATAGTTCCCATTTCCCAGCATGCTCTTCTTGTGGGGCGTCACCATAGTGTTTGGAGACAACCTAGGAATGTAAAAGGAGAAGCTTAGGCTCACTGACCCGCCCCGCCTCCCCAGCCGTGTGCCACCAGAAAGCATTTTGCAGCACGGCCCTGGAAGCTGGTTCCCTCGGCAGAATGGTCTCACCAGTCTCTACCTCAGCACTGCATGCGTGGCCCCGGCTAGCCTAGAGATTGCCTCTCCCAGTGCAAGACAGTTCAGGAAGGTGGAGACCTCGCTGGCCTTTTGGGGAGGAGTGTCACAGTGAAGGGAGGGACCACAGAAAGGATGCGCACGGCGGCGGTGGTAACCCACTCCTTTAATCCAGCACTCGGGAGGCAGAGGCAGGCGGACCTCTGTGATTTGGAGGCTAGCCTGGTCTACAGAATGAGTTCCAGGACAGCCAGGGCTACATAGAGAAACCCTGTCTCGATAAACAAAACAAACAAGAAATGCTCCACGCAAGTACTGGTCTTCTTTATGTACTCCTGTCAGCACGGCCTTCCTACTGCTGCTCTTTCTCTTGGATACAAACCTTTCTAAAAAACACCGACAAAGCTGGGCATGGGCGTGGTGGTTGTAGTGGCTGTGGTGGTGGCGGCGGTGACGCGGCAGCACACACCTTTAATTCTGGCACTAAGGAGCCAGAGGTAGGATAGTCTCTGTGAGTTCAAGTCCAGCCTCATCTACTTAGTGAGTTGTAGGCCAGTCAGACATAGTGAGACCTTCCTTCACTATGAAAGTAACAAAACCACTAGTAAGTGATATGTGATGTTTTAAGTGGCACAGTTAGTAACTGTTACTCCTGCCTTTTGCAATTTCAGTACTCTACTTAAGACTTGTACTTCGGTAATCATGAAATATTCAAAGGTGTGTAGCAGTTGAGACAGGCAGCATAACTGCATGAACTAGAGCCAAGTAAAAGGCAATAAAAACTAACGAGGTCTATATTAAACTGGAACGGAGAACTCATCTACAGACAGTGTGTGTGTGTGTGTGTGTGTGTGTGTGTGTGTCCATGCATGAATGCCTGCGTGTATCCTGAAAAAATAAAAAGTAAAAGCACAAAGAATCAATTGAAAAGAAACAAACCCTATAGGCAGAGGCAGGTGAATCTCTGAGTTTGAGGCCAGCCTGATCTACATACAGATTGAGTTCCAGGACAGCCAGGGCTACAACAGAGAAGCCCTGTCTTGGAAACAAACAAAAAACCTTATACTAGATAAACAAAACTCAACTGTAGCTCTGGTGGCCTACCCAGCCTTCAACTAAGGTCTCCCTCCATACTAGCTCAGGCTGGCCCTGAAATCAGGATCCTCTTGCCTCAGCTCCAAAGTGCCAAGATTAGAGGTATGCACCACCCCACCTATTTCAAGCCCTTTTCTTTTTTATTGCTCCTTTTAGCAATTCCATTTTCCAGCTGAGGCTTGCACTGAAAGGCATTTCTCATCTTATTATTTTGTTTTCATAGTCTAGAAAAGCCAGGAGATGAGGAAGGCCATGTTGACTGGAGGGTTAACATATCTTTTTGTTGTTGTTGTTTTGGGACAGGGTCTCTGTACATTGCCCTGGCTGTCCGGTAACTCACAGAAATCTGCCTGCCTCTGCCTCCCAAGTGTTGGGATCAAAGGTGTTGTGTCACATGATGGGTCAATATGTCTCTAACATTCCTATAAAGGGAGAGGAAAACATGGTGGGTTCTTCAGGAAGGAAGATATCCAGAGGTTGCACTGTGTCACTTCCAGAAAAAAGTATCTACTTTGGGCCAAGAAGTCAATTCTAAAACTTTAAGAAATCTTGCTTAAAACAAAACAAAAACTTCTTCAAACATAGCATCCATACTGATTTGGGGTGGGTGTTGGCAGTTCGAAAGCATTATTCATGCCAAGCAAACACTCTGCCGACTGAGCTATATCATGAGCCCCTTTTTCAAAAACAAATATGCCCTTGGCTGTGTTTAAAACTCTCCAGTTGCAGAGGCTGGTGGCGCACACTTGTAACCCCAACAATCGCAAGTCTGGGGCAGGACTGGGAGAGTTCCAGGCCAGCCTGGACAGTATGGGAAAGACATTGTCTCAAAAAACAGAAGTGGGATGGAGTGGCTGGAGGATGACCCAGTCCTCACATGGTGGCTCAAAACCATCTGTAACTCCAGTTCCAGGAGATCTGAAGCCCTTTCCTGGCCTCCATGAGCGATGGACACAAGTGAGGCACAAACATATATACAGTCAAAATAGCCATACTCATAAAATAAAAATAATGAATCTTTCTAAAAATAATATGAGCAGTCTCTCTTGAAATCCTGGGACTCTATAGCTTGAACTGTCACAGTGATTTATTTTACTTTGTTTTGTTTTGCAGAGCCTCACTATGTAACTAGCTGGAGCTCACTAGGTAGAGCAGGTTGGCACTGAACTCAGAGATCTTCCTGCCTATGCCTCTCAAGTGCTGGGATTAAACGCGTGTGCCACCATACTGGGTGGGCATCACAGGGATTTAGGGCTGGAGAGTTGACTCTGGTTAAGGGCACTGGCTACTCTTATAGAAGACCCAGGTTTGATTTCTAGCACCCACATGATGGCTCATAACAACCTGGAATTCCAGTTTCTGGGGAAAAGGGCTCACTTGCTCATCTCTAGAGCAAAGGCACCAATTCCCCATGCTGCAACCAAATGTCATTTACTGTGATGCTCATCACCTGCTCAATACTAGGACTACTGCTTTAGGAAATGCCTCATTTAATCCTCACACTAGGAGGTATGAATTCATTCCATTTAAGTACAAAATCCTGAGGTGTGGAGCTGAAAGATGGCTCATTGGCTAGGAGTGTTTGCTCTTCTGGAGGGCCTGAGTAGTTCCCAAAATCCACAGCAGGCAGCTCACAGCCATCCAAGTCCAGCTCCTAGGGATCTGATGCCTCTAGGTTCCTCAGGTACCTGCACTCATGGGCACATACTCATACATAATTTTGTTGTCGTTTGTTTTTTTCCAGACAGAGTTTCTCTGTGTAGCTTTGGAGCCTTTTCTGGAACTGACTCTGTAGCCTAGGCTGGCCTTGAACTCACAGAGATCCACCTGGCTCTGCCTCCCACCCAAGTGCTAGGATTAAAGGCGAGCTCCACCACTGCCCCCGGCCATACACAGGTTTTTGTTTTTTTGGTTTTTTTTTGGTTTTTCAAGACAGGGTTTCTCTGTGTAGCTTTGTGCCTTTCCTGGAACTCACTTGGTAGCCCAGGCTGGCCTCGAACTCACAGAGATCCGCCTGGCTCTGCCTCCTGAGTGCTGGGGTTAAAGGCGTGCGCCACCACCGCCCGGCGCATACACAGTTTTTTATGTGCCATTTTCTTTCAATATATTTTCTGCTTCAAGCCCCCAACCCCAATTACCCAGAAAGTCCAGGACTGGGCACTTAAACAAGAGACCTCAAAAAGCCAAGGCAAACCAGCCTAAGATTAGCAGGTTCCCTCCAACAGGACCACAGTCTGGATGCTATTGTCTCCACTCAGCGCCTGATAGTAAAAGCTGGTTAGGAATAAAGTAGTTTCAGAAGCTAGCCCCTACAGGGGCTTTCTGCAATAGGGTACCCTTAACAGGGCCAGGCTGTGTAAAGAGTGGTGTTTGTTGGCCTTGTCAAAAAGCTCTTCCCATAGGCATCCAGAAATTGGGTACCTAGGCAGCAGAAAGCAGCCCTAATCTGGGCCATGGCTGTGGGTGGTCCTTTTTTTTTTTTTTAATGTACCTTTTTCTTTTCATTTCTTTTCTGATAATTTTTAAATAATAAAAATAAATTTTTTTAAATTCTAAAGTTAGGTGATTTTTTAAAGTATTTTTTTTCTTTTCTTATGAAAGGTATCAGTGGGTGGTGGTGGCACACACCTTTAATCCCAGCGGGGAGGCAGAGGCAGATGGATCTGTGAGTCTAAGGCCAGCCTGTTCTACAGAGCCAGTTCCAGGACAACCAGGGCTGTTACACAGAGAAACCTGTTTTGAACCCTCCAACCACCCCCAAAAAAGGTCTCATGTAGCCTAGGCTAACTTCAGAGTCACTATGTAGCCGAGGATAACTTCAAACTCCTAATCCTCCTGCTTCCAACTCCTAGGTGCTGGGAATGCTAGGCTTGTGCCATGCCAGCACATGAAGTCAGGTGATTTTCACTGTCCATGAACACTAACAGTTGACGGAACTAAGCTCAAACCTGGGTTCATGAGAATCCAGTTGTCCTGCTTACAGTGGAGACCCAAGAGCCAGGGTGGGATGGGAGGTGGTAACCGGCTGCTGAGCAGAAAGGTCTGTTGAGTCCTGAGTCCCGAGGCTGAAACATGAGCACTAGGGCAAAGGTTCTCTCCTGGCAGTGGGAGAGAGCAGTGGAGAGGAGGCCAAGCTTGGGTGGTAGCAGATCCTTTCCCTCTACCCACTCTTCAGGAACCTATTGTGTGGCTTCCATCTTTCCTGGAGAGTCTCTGACCAATACAAGGAAGATGGCATCACCAGAGCCTGCTAAGACTTCAACCTCCCATTGGCTACCTCCCTGCAGGCTCATGCCCAGAGCAGTGCTCTCCTGAGTCTCCCAATTCCATGCTCATTATTGGAGGCTCTGAGAGGCATCTAATATTTCAATACAGTAACAACAGGATGAGCCAGCAAGTAAAGTGGCTTCCTGGAGGAATGAGTCTCTAGCACAGTCTTCATCCTGAGTCTCCAGGAGAAGATTACATTGTGTTTCAGCCCTCAACACCAGACTACACAGACATCTATTCCGAAGGCTGCTTCTCAAGACTGCTGTCCCAGGATCTCTTGTCCTGCTCTCATCTCTTAAAAACTCTTGTTAAGATTCAGCCCCTCGCCGGGCAGCAGTAACACATGCCTTTAATCCCAGCACTCGGGAGGTAGAGCCAGGAGGATCTCTGTGAGTTCGAGGCCAGCCTGGTCTACAGGCACCAAAACTACGCAGAGAAACCCTGTCTTGTCGAAAAATCAAAAAAAAAAAAAAAAAAAAAAAAAAAAAAGATTCAGACCCTCTCTTG